CAATGTTACCTTAATTGTCTTTATAAAACGTTAAACTAAGCCAAACTGAATCAATCTAACCTAACCGCCACAGCACAGGATGAAAAGTGGTCTTGAAAAATGTACAATCAATATTTTTATTGCTTGAAAACTATAACTGGTACGCTATAAATAGGCCTATCAAACTAATAATTACATTTGACAATATATCGAAGGATCTCTACGGAAACATTTCCCAAGATCTAGACACAGGACCAATTTACTTTTGCGCTTTGAGGTCTCCAGAGGCTAAAAAACCATTGGTTAAATTGATATATACGTAGGCCTATATGTGTGTGTGTATGTGAACAAGCTAAAGGCCTTTTCACACCGGCGTACTGGACGAACTGTACGTACAGTACGTACTGTACGCGGTCCTTTCACACCGCACAGAAACTTTCAAAACGTACACTTGTTCGTTTGCAGTCAGACAAGTAACACTGGCTGAGCACGTGGTTTTGAAGTGTTCAGTACGCCACGTACGTTTTAGAAAAATCGCTCACACAAAACCATTGCGTACGTACTGGACGTACAGTACGTTCTTTACGCACAGTGTGAAAGAGCTCATATGATATCATGGGCAGCGATTTGTTGAAAAAAAACGTACCAAACGTACAGTACGTCCAGTACGCCGGTATGAAAAGGCCTTAACCCAAGTAATTTTGGTCCGATTTTGATGAAGTTTGGCATGAATGTCTAGGGCTGGATAATCTTAAATGAGTTTGCAAACCAGCAAAATAGGGTAATCAGAACAAGGTTTAAAGTTTTAAAAAAATTAGTTTTTCAAATTCTTTACCCTTAAAAATTAAAATGCCCAGTTTTAATTACAGCCGTCGTGAAGAACTCAAAGTAACAAATAATTATCTATATTGAAGCATTGTTGTTCAATTAAAGGTTACAGAGAAAATTCCAAAACCCTTAACATTAAAACTGTTATTCACATGGAGAAAAAGTAAACTGTTGTAGTTTCTTGTTCATGGATATGTTTTGGTAAATTTTGGCAAATTTATTTACTTTACTTGATAACCTTTATAAACAGAGTGTTGAAATAGTCTTAAAAATTTAAAAATAATTTAAACAGCTTGAAGATAAATTTTGGGACTTCACCATGCTTTTTGTAAGAAATCAACATTTTGTCGCCCTCCCCCTTCAAGTCCAAATCTTTCAATACAGAGACCCATGCTTTTGACCCCTCATTTGAAAGGTATTGTTGAAACGTTTGGTCTGTTTGAAATATCTTTACGACCTACCTGTGCATAATGGCGGTCTAAAATCCTTTAAAGTTGCAAACGGGCAAAATAGGCTTAAAGAAATGTGTTAAAAGTTTATGTGATACAGTTACATACAAAGGCCACCATTGTGGTCTTAAAAAAAACTTTCAATTACACCAAACGTTTTCTTTTAACAAGACTTAAAATGAGGGGTCACAGCATGCGACTGCATTTCATTCTACCAGAAAAAACACTTTTTTCCTTCCCTGTAGCAGCAAACCTAAATACTTTTTAAACCTAATGTTATTTATTAATGTAGAGAATAATCAGGCATTTTTCAGGAAAAGTAAAGTGTCTGCAAGTTTTCTGTGGTGGATGTGTATGTTTGTGTTTGAGTGTTTTTTACTCTTTGTCCGGCCAACACAGATTTTCATTGTGTCGGCTTAGCAAGGTTATAACACAGTTGATCTGAACCAACAAAAGAGTCTTTTTATCACATTATGCAGGGGTTCCCAAACTATGGATCAAGGGAGCAATTTTAGTGGATTGCAAGAACTTCAACGTCAAACAGTGAACATCAAGTTTTCTAAGCCGGAAGTTCTATACAAACCGAACAGGCTGTATGCAAGCAAACAAGAAGTCAGGAACAGTATATAAAAATATATTCAGTAATTTAACAATATTTCAGTATGAGTTCCTGGCAGAAGAACCAGCTTATCATAGTGAGTAACGAACCATAAACTCATTCACTCAACAATCACATTTACCTTTAACTACACACAATGGCCTATCAATGCTGTGTAGTGGATAGATAAATAAATGTATTATGACGCTTGCTAACAAGACCAGGATTTGAATTGATAAAAGTGTAAAAATACACTAATAGTACAGGCAATAAAAAAAAAAATTAGAAACTTAAATTTAATAAGACATGTTATAAACCAACATGCAATTTACTTAGTTAAAACTTTTACAAGGGCCGAGAAGCATCAACTGTAACGGGTCAATTTTCAATTTTTCAATTTTTGTAGGCCTAAGGGTGATATTTTTACTGTCACCCCAAATACATTGATTTGGTTAAAGCAAAGACCGCTAACGTCGGACGAGGTAACATCATTGTGGAGGGGATGACAGTTGTTCCCAATGCCAGGGGCGGTACGAGAGAGCCGCTGGAGAAGCGCTCCAAGTAAGTGAGTCGTCGTTCAGCTACGAAACGAACACAACACAATCTCCCACACAACAATGTCTGTTGTATTAAAAACCACAAAGCGATTCGAGCACTGGTAAGTGTAGAGCAACCTGATAACGCTCTATAGTTTATTTCATTCCCAGATAGTTATAAGACACACAAAATATTACGACTGGTATTATTAAAATAACATGGTAGCCTTTATAATTAAAAATACTTTGTGCTAAAGGTAGTGCTATTGGTTGTGGTATAGGTAGGAGGTGGTGCTTTGTAACTACACTCTCATAGATTTTTGTATTTTTGTTTAACTTAAACAGTACCGGTAAAGTTAAAAAAAAATCTATTCAATGCACAAAAAGTAGGCCTATTACTTAAACTAGAGGAAAGATGTGATAACAAGAGTTTCGTCTCAACCCCAAAAGTGAAGTTTCGGCAGAAGAATTGCTATAAAAATCACTGTAACCAAGTTAACCTAGATTACTGCTAGGCTATCTATAACTGTTCATGTTTGAATAAATGTAGAGTGTCAAATAGGGATTAACTAGGCTCCCCTACATGTAAGTACCGGTAGGGCTTTACCTAAGCAAAGATGAATCACTTCCCTTTAAGGTATGTTTTTTTTGTCCCATGTAAGATTTTGATTCTTTGGCAGAACCAAAACAACACATGATGCATGGTAAAAACTATTGAAATAAACACCAAAAATATGCCTTTTAATGCACTACGATCTTTCATTACAAAGCCAATGATAAATACCCCCGCTGTAGCAAAGCTGCAGACTAAGCGAATTTCCATCTGCCTGATTGGTTTTTTACTTAAATATTTCAGATTCTTTCAATATTTAAATAACACTAGGTTAAACAAGTACGTACTTAGGTTTGCTGCTACAGCGAAGGTGTGTTTTTTAGTAAAAAGTTAATTACTTAGGATGAAATAAGTAAATTTGCCAAATTTGATCAGAATAACTAGGCAAACTAGCAAGCTATACCTATTCTCCATAAGAATAACATGGAAATTCTAAATTTTTACAGTTTCATGTAGGCCCCTAACCATTTCCGGTTTGTGGCAGCGCAAAAAATATGTACCGGTATTTTAAACATATTGCCATGGTCAGTTTGTCTTAGGTGCATGGTTGATCACTGGACAGGTGTGTATATTAGTATATAATTTAAGATGTAGGTAGCCCACGTAATTTTCTTTAGTTAGGTTTCTGTATCTATGATTTCCGTTTTGTTCAACCTATTATAAATTGATTAAATTGTTAAAATATTTGTATTAATGTACAGGTTAAGTGTAAGAAAGGTCCATGTGGCCCTAACTTTCATTTCATTAGGCGTTCAAATAAGTTATCCTTCAATGTATTAAATTATTGGCTCCTTTTAAGCTCTAAAGTTTTAGAGAGATTGCCAATTTGTTTGTTTTGAGTGTCAAAAATGGGGAAAACTAATTCTTACCCCGAAATTTGCGTTTCCATAAATCAATCATACTGGTATGCGAACTTGATTATAGTAGCCTAGGTACCAAAACTTCATCAAAATTGGATGACTTTTACTCGAGTTGTCGTGCTAAGGACACATATATAAATATAGCCTAGATGAATATAACTTTGAACAGGTGTTTTTGGCCTCAGGGGAAATCTAAATTTAAAAGTAAATCGGTTACGGGTACAGGAATTTACCATGATACCTAAGGTAGCTTGTTCCCTATAATATGTGAAATTGGCTGCACTTTACTTTAGGTACGTCCTACACTCATTCGAATGAAAATATTGATCGATATATCAATTATTTGATATATCGTTTGGTTAGTTAGGTAAGGTTAACCTAACCTAACTTATCAAACGATATATCGAATAAAACTATCGAATACTTAATCGATAAGTTATTTTCATTCGAATGAGTGTATGACGTAAAGTAAAGTGCAGCTGTGAAATTCTCTGGAGGATCTGTGTTTAAATTGGAACCTTTGAAAACCTAACTCACTTTTTCATGAGCAAACTTTAAATTTTATGATTCATACCAGACTAGCTATCACTGTAGGCCTAATTTTAAAATAGATTTTTTTAATTCCTAACTTAAGTCTTCTAGTAGAGCAGTGGTTCTCAACCTAGAGGGTGCACCCGTTTGGGGGGAGTGGAAGGATTTCAATTGGGGGCATAAGTACTCCTAGTATTTAAAATAGATCTTAAAAGTTCAATTGCTGTAAATTCATTTAGGATTGTAGCCATATAAAAACCTTAAGCCGTGTTTAGAAGAGACCAGTATTAGCAGACAGGTTAAGTTACTAGGCTATTGTAGCCTATTTCAAGTGACTTGAGCCAAACTAGTTTCGTTTAAACGGGGCTTTAACGACATCAAAACTAAGGTTAAAATTAAAACAAAATATTTTTACATACTTAAACCTGCTAATGAAAAATTAATCGAATTATAAATTATGACATTACAAGGTACTGGATTGAGGAAGTTAACTCCGAGAAGCTTTTAGAAAGAAAACAATTGATGGCCTTAAACTAAAACCTAAGGGAGTATGTTTTATCTATGCTAAAACCTATCCCTAGGCTGGATGTAAGGGCTATGACTCACCATCCAGAGGCAGTTCCCAAAATCAACTGCTGTGTAGCTGAAGTTTTCCCAACATCTCCAATAACTTTATCAATTAGACTTTGGGCTTCCTTGGAAACATCTTGGATGGTTATTTCAGAATTCTCCTCTTCCTTAGAAGCTTTGGATTTTCTATTGAAAGGTGATGTCATTTTTAAAAATAAATTGACTAGATAACTTTTTAGATATAAATTTTAGGGGATACTAATATAATACCACGATTTCAAAAGTGTACGAAATTTGACCAAATCAACTTGGTAATACGTTTATATTAGTGTTAATATATCTAAATGCAATAGCCTACTTTAATAAATCCTTTGCTCAGCAATCACAATCACAACAGCAGACGACACAGATTGGATCTTGTTTGGTTTTTTTAGACACTCACTGTCTGAGTCAGCTGGACCATTATCAGCTGACAAAAAAGTTCGTTTTCGATTTCTTCTGATTTTCGTACCAAACCAAGAATTGGGTGGGAAATTATTTTCTTTAGCCTTAATATTAGTATTACAATTGATTATCATTGACTAAGGATATTTAAGTATAAGGACTCATCATATCTTAAAATTTCAAGCGTATATTAGAAGCCCTTCCCTGCGGAGTAATGTTCCTTGCATGGATCATAGATGAAGTAATATAATGGTGCTTATATTATGGCATGGTGTTTATTTATTCTATACATGAATCAGCTCAACGTATTCAAGGTTAGTTGGGACGGGTTTCGTATTTTGTTTATTATTTGTTTCTTTATCAAATCAAATAATTTATTGCCATAAAACATACAAAACATACGGTAAAGGAGAAAAAAATAATTTTAAAATTCCCGTGTTATTTTTATGGAGAATATAAGAAGTAAACCCCGTTTTAGTTTACTTGTTTATGGATATACAGGGAGTCCGGTCATAAATCATTATGGTGATTGAATGACGCCTTATTTGAGGTTCCCAACTTAAACGATAAGGGAATAAAAAATAAAAATTGAGATTTTTAATACCCCTACCGCAGCAAACTTGCAGACTAAGCGAAATTCCATTTACCTGGCTGGATTTCTATTAAAATATTTCCTAAAAAAAATGCAGATTTATTTCCTATCTAAATAACATTAATTTTAGTGACATAGTGAGTCAATAGTTTCTATATCTACGAAACCATCATCCATTCCTTAACATCAAACATAACAATATAGAGAGAAGACATACAAACTATACATAGGACTAACATTTTTCAACCACCTCCCAGATCAATTAAAAATATTCAAAACACAAACGGCTCTAAAAATAAACTTAAAGACTTCTTCTTAACAAGACCCTACTGCAAAATAAAAGATTTCTTTGAGGCTACTGATGACTAAAAATGATGTGAAGACATAAATCCGGACGAGCCCCCTTTCTTGGACAGCGGAGGCGAACACCCACAAGTAACAAGTTTATTTCGGTTGGCAAACATACAATCCACGAATACTTGAACAGGAATATTTATGTTATAAATATTCAATTTGTATCCTTGTTATCGAATTATGCTGTTAAATTAATATCAGCTCTTGTGTTAACTATTGTTAACACCGGATATGTGAACACCTTATACTGTAATGTTAACACATAAGTTTATTATGTTAATTAATTAATAACACAATACCGGATAATGTTAACGCCGGATATTTAGTATTGCAATTTTTCTTTGTCATTTTAGAATAATAACTCTGACCATTTCCTAATCCCTTGGGGAATACGATAACACTTCTTGCTTAGAGTAGTTTTGAGTGATTGATTGATCAGTAATCAGCTATCACGTGATCTCAGCATGTTTATGCCGATGCGATGCGTACGTGTGCGCGAGCATGGGATGGGATGGGAGTAGGGACGACAGTAGGGTTGGGTTATGTTGATGTTGTTTTGTTGACAATGAACTCAGCTGCTTATCCCCTCCACCCACTCCCACAGTGCACGAGCCGGCCTCCTGATCCTCTTCTCCCCTTCGTAATAATTATTGGTCATTGGTTGAACCTGTTTCGTTTCGAAGTGGTTTCGATAGAGATAGTTGGAGTTGGATAGTTCCAGTTCTGGTTCTGCTGAGTTCAGTTGTCTTGATGTGCAGTGCCTTTGCCTTTGCCAGGAATAGGACTAGGAGAGAAGCAGAAGCAGAGGACGATTGAGAGCGTTTTGACAAGTAAAAAGAGTGCCTTCAGTTCAAAACTATTTTAGACACGAATCGTTCTGTTCAACATTCTATTAACTTACCTAGTGTTTTATTTTAGACTGGTAGTGTATTTTTACTGTGTTTACACTCAAGATATCAACAATGAGAATCTCATTATTTTTGGTAAGATAAATAATTATTACTAGACTTGAAGCTGTACTTAGCCTATGTAGAATCTTTCAATAGTCAATGGTAGAATTTATGCTTCTTATATTTTTTCTTTACCACTAACTTAATTGAAGAAACATAGCCTTACCCTTATCAGTGAGATCACCACATTAACTTAGGCCTAAGTTATTTTGAAAAGGCCCTAAGTTATACTTTTAGCGAATTTCCCATATAATGAATAAGCTATCACCGTAGGTCTCATGGTAAGACCTAGACCCGGGACGGATTTACTTTTTCGTTTTGAGGTCCCCAGAGGACAAAAACACCATCCGTTCAAATTCATAATATAGGTGTGTCCGTTAGCGCAATAACTCGAGCAAAAATGATCCGATTATGATGAAATTTGGTACAAATGTGTAAACCTATGTTTTTGCTATCGAGTTCGCGAACCAGCATAATCAGACCACATATGGTAACAGGGTTTTATGGGGTAAAAATGGGGTTTTCCCAATTTTGACCTTACAAACAAAAAATTTTGCAATTTCTTTCTTAACCATTTTGTAGAGCTTAAAAAAAGAAATAATTTAGTATATTGAAGCGCTGTTGTATGCCTAACGATCACGGAGAAAACTATAAAAAGTGTAATTTAATATTCCCTTGTTATTCTTATGGAGAAAATGAAAACTGTTGTAGTTTACTTGTTTATGGATATATGTTAATAAATTTTGGCAAATTTATTTATTTCATCCTATACCGTACTATTGATGTATGGTCAAAAACACTTTTTACCTTCCCCGTAGCAGCAAACCTAAGCACTCGTTAAATTTTTAAATTTGGAATAAATATGTCTAATTCTTATGGAAATATTTCAGTAAAAATGTATCAGACAAGTTGAAATTCGCTTAGTCTGCAGGTTTGCTGCGGCGGGGGTATTTACTAAGTTAACCATCAAACTGAGTCAACTTCTCAACTAATTAAAAAATTGACAACAATTCCAAATTAAATTTTAAGTCAAGGTAAACCTAGTTTCCAAGGTTTAACTTTTAAAAACACAAACATTTAGGCTATTTTGTAAAACTGCTTAATGTTTTATTTTTTTTACAGTAAACTTATTAAATTTCCCATAACTTTAGAAATGTTTTATAAAGCTTGGGTTTTTGTCTACATAGGTTTTATACATTTACCAGGGTAAAGATTTTACAACGCCCAACTCACCCTTAAGAGTGTGCTGTAATGTACCTGTCTACCGCACGCTAATGCAAGGGTTTAGGATCTCCGTCATTGTAGGCTTAGTTCTTAACCGATTGAAAATATATTTACCATGTTAATATAGGTATTCATTTATTATTTTTGTAGGCTTGTATCCTTTTAATTTTTTGGTAGTAGTAGAATTTTAAGTGAGAAGTGACTGGTAAATACTTCTAAATAAGCTTTTTTCTAAAGCATTTTACACATACAAATGAATTTGTAGAAGAAAATTAAAACAACAGAGTCATAAATTTGAATCTAAGGAGTAAGTTAAGGAACCTTCTTCAGGTGAAAACTTTTTTAAAGTTAACTGAGTAATTTGAGAGGATTTAAAAAAAAGTCTGCAAGCGCTTCTCGCAGCGCTGCTCAGTTGCGCAACATAGAGCTAATAAAGCCCGAGCTGAGGTAGAGCGCACCCTTATCGCACTTCCTGAAGTGTGAAATTGTGAAAAAGTGTGAAGTTTAAGTTTACTGAGCGTCTGAAAAGCCACAAAACCCGTAAAAAATGACCTACCAATAATGTAATTAATCGTATTTAATTGTTTAGTATAATTTTTTTGTAAAAAGCTAATAATAATGAATTTTAAATTTTGCCCCATGATACATTGGAACCCACCCCTGAGGTGAATTTATCTTTCAAAAAAATTCTTATAATCATCATGTAGCCTAATTAAGATCAGTAGTTTCTTTAAAACTTAGCTGTTTGTTTAACCACAACCAATTAACTTAAGTTATTTAGTGTTGATAAAAAGTGTCTTTATAAACTCTTTTGCTGTAACTTATTCTTAACTAGCTGGACCCGCGGGCTTTGCCCCGTTTTTACTTCATAAGTGAGCTCGTTCGCATGGCTCAATCACGTCCTGGTTGAAGTTCGTTCGCCACGCTCACTCACCTTTAGGTTGAAGCTCGTTCGCTGAGCTCACTTGCCTTCTGGTTAGCTCGTTCGCTACGCTAACTTACCTCCAGGTTGAAGTTCGTTCGCTACGCTCACTCACCTTTTGGTTGCAAATTAGCTGTTGTCATAAATTAAAAAAAATAATAGTGCTGCACCCTGTTGGTAATCCTTGTAGGTTTTTAATGCTTTTGCATATCATAGAACCAACTTTTTAGTTGAAACAGCTGACTAAATTATTTAATTCCCTTTTAATATGAATACTCATAAGGTTAACATGGGGAACTATAGAGCCACTGGGGCGGAGCCCGAAAGGATTTTTGAGATAAGAATATGCCTATATGTTAATCAGGAATGTGAGCTATCATCATGCCAAATTTCAGCAAATTCCGTCCAGTGGTTAATGCGTTCACTTGTCACAAACATACATCCATACATCCATACATCCAAACTTTCTCATTTATAATATTAGTAGGACTACTAGTGGCTTGTATATTAATGATCCAAATAAGCAACTTATATTTTTATCTAGACTTTTAAGAGGATTTAAAATTACTAAATTATGATTTTAAATTACCCTTAAGAAGCTATTATCAGTTGACGCAGCTTTCACATCTTTTGTACCAGATTACCTAAGTAATTCAACACACTTTACATCCACCTATTGTGTCTCTATCAACGGCTTTCAACAATGTCTTTATGTGAAAGCGTTTAACATCAAATAAACTTATTAAGTTTTGTATTAAACTTATATGAATTAAAGTATAGCTTGCCACTTTATGTTAGTCTAGCTTTGCACAAAAATAAATTAAAGACTGTTATTGCACATTCAATTGTTCCGATTTGTCACACGTATGAAAGAGATATAATTTTATCAAACACAGTTTCTCACTCAAATGTAGGTTAACTTTAATCTTTTAATGACTTTACTAATGTGCTAAGATAGCTGGTGGTGGGCATTCTCTATTCTTTATCCTTCTATTGACTTTAACTTATGTAACAGAGGACATTGACAGAAGTCTTACAAGGTCTGTTTTACGTCATCTAACGAGGTTAACTTGGATTCTGCATTTTCAGTTGACCTACATAGGAGCTATGATGAAAAATTACTTTAAAAGTTGCATTAGTAGTCCTAGGTATTTCTAAAATATAATATATAGGACTACTGTACCTATATGAAGTAAAATAGACAACAAAACATATTTAAAGCGTATTTTTAATTGTATTAGGTACTAAATAATTGTTTTCAGTTTTTTACATGTTTTCTTTGTTTTTACAAAACTGTAAAATACAAAAAGCTTGGCTGTCAATTGGTTTTTGTTTTAGAATTCCACCATGAGCAAATCTTGTGTAAGGCCCCAAAAAAACTGGGCTGAGCAAGACAAGAAAACGTGTGTGTTTTCACAAGACCAAAGGAGGGCATTTTCTCATCAAGGTAACTTCTAAAATGTTAAACTATTTTTTAGAATGTTTAAGATCAACTTAAAATTCTAAATACATTCAAACTAGAACGCTGATGGTTGCTGGTTCGATCCCATGCGTAGGGGTTTTTTTTTACCAAGAAGATGCAATTTACCATCGTGCTTTTAACCGAATGCTAGTTAAAAAAAGATATCAGAGTTTTTACCTCATTCCCTTACAAAAGAAACATACAAATTAGCAAAAGTGTTAAACACATTTAAATGATTGACTGTAAATTTCAATTGTCAATGTGAATTTAATAATTATTGTAAAAGTGATGATTCAAGGATAAACTCAACTCTAACAATCCAGGTAAAATGAAAACATATTTTGTATCCAGTGTTTGGTAATCAAAGTACTTGAGATATCAGGGAATTACCATTGGTGGTTCAGGTGAGGCAAAATTCCATGTTTAGAATTCTAATGTAGGCCTACAAAGCTCAGAGGTCAACATAAATTTTTAAACAGAGATTAGGCTAAGCTTCAAAATATCTTTTAATTTATTGTGTTAGTTGTCAATGTATTTACCACTTTAATGACTGAATCTTATCTTGATCTTGAAACGATCTTGATATTTTTAAATTTTTTTTGTTAGGGAACCGTCTTCGTGTGTATCAGTAAATGAAAAGCCTAACCTAAATACCCTTCCTCTCAAAAAAATATTTTGTTTTCCGATGAGCGTTATTTGCTTCTTCTATGCTTTAATTTTTTACAGATTACTAACCTAAGAAGACATGAAAAAATAATTATTTGTTTTGTTATTCCCAGTGTCAAGCAGTAAACAGTCAAGCTCAGTGACACCGGTGAGTCGACTGAGACAGTTGCCAGACCTGCTCAGTGCTTGCTACGAGCTGCAGTGGCTACTCAGCTCTCGCACTTCACTCTCACAAACCCTCGATGCCGCCGTCAAACAGGTTAGTCAAATAGTTCTTTTCAATCAGACTCGCTCACATTTTATCAAGTTTTTGAGTTTGGGTCAGTTCACCTGTCCTGGCAGTCCTTGGCTACGTAGGTCACAAATAACAATTCCAGACTGCACATCAAAGAGGACTAAATTATGTTTCTTGCAAAATATTAAACAATCAAAATCAGGTTAGTTTACCTAGAGTCAATATCTCTGTCATCCTTAATGTCAAATATTTTTCTACGTTGTTCAGCAAATGCCAATCTGTGATGGCCAATAGCAATTGTTGAGTAATAAGTTACCTTTACAAAACAAAAAGGTAACTTATTTAAAGATTTCTTGAAACTGGGTAACAATACTAACTTTGTGAGTAAAGTCACAACAAAACCCCACATGCTGCAGGAATGTGTTATAAAAAAATTTTCAAAATGTTTTAATCATAAGCAGCCTTTCCTGGTCAGAAGCAAAAATATCTGCATAATGGTTGCAAATGTCGCAGACGGGAAGCAGAAATCCCCGCCGTTTTTGTAGACTGGTAGCCTGCAAGAATTATCATAATTTTACAACAACAACAAACTTACAAACAACTTACGACACAACAAACTTGCACAATAATTGCGAACAAACTTACAAGCTTTGGTTCTGTGAAACACACAAAAATAAGCATAAATATTATTACAGTATAACTACAGTAATAAATATATTACAGTATAGCATGAATAGATATTTCAGTGCCTGTCTTCAATAAAAAAAAAATAGTGAAACGAATGACAATTTACCTATAAACAACTATTACCAATTTTCTATTGAAAAAGAAAATGCTTTGGAATTTTTATTAAGTTTAAAAAAAATAAGATACCGGTATTGTAAAACTGTTTATGAAGAAATAAATATTGATAATTTTAAAGCACTGATAGTCCATTAAGCTAACTGGATATCTGGCTAATTTGCCTAATTCTTTCTAAATGGTCATTGTTTCAGCCATTACTGTTCAATCTAAAAATAGTAGGCAACATTTGAGGACCTCTTGTTCGGTTTTCAAGCCTATATTATTTACTGTTAAAAATATGGATAGAGATAAGTTTAATTGTATAAAATAGAATGAATCATGTTGAGTTATTTGGTTAAAATTTTATCATCTTGTTACATCTATTAGACATTAAGAAAGTAGTCTCCAAAGATTATATTTTATGACCCTACACGTTTACTATTAGACAGAATTTGAGTAAACCCAAGCACAATTAGCTGCAAGTGATATGTCAGCTATAATCAAACAATGAGCAGCAGATTCATAAATGCAAGCGTGTGAAACTATCTTGTTCTCAATTTGATTTCATAACGTTGCATAAATTTGTTCTACTACCCTTGAAAATACAGGAGACACAAATTATTGTAGTGGAATTAACATTAAGAAGAAAACTTGATAAAATAATAAAATGATTAATTATTTATTATCTGAAGCTTGTAATGGCTGAAATATTGATTGAAACGATTCAGGATCACATGAAAAGTATATATGGATACATTTTAGAGATGTGTGTTTTAATAGTGAACAACAAAGTTAGAGGTATAGGCCTAGACTAAAGAGCGATTTGTGATCATACATAAACGTTATTTAAGTTTTGGTAGGGCCAGTATTACAGTGTGGGGGAGTGTGATTGAATTAATTGACACAGGGTTTGATAGTGGGAAGTTGTTAAATGACACTTTATAAACAGATTGCGTAGTAAGTGGAACCGGTAGAAGATTTTTTCAAGTAAATTTTATACATTCCAATAATATTATAACAAGATAAGTTAGTTGCATTTTGTTAGATGTATTTATTTTATTTTACACTATTCACTTTTTAAGTTTATGGAAAAAAAATATTTTATCCATATATTTTTTATGAATAAAATATTTTATTAACATAGCCTACAGTGTTTTCTTGGTTCTTCTAGTACATTAAGATAGTTTTCAAAATCCTTTATCATTTCTTATATTATTGTAGTTTACTTATTTTTCACTCACAATGTTTTCAAATTTGTCTATTTTTTTCTAATTTCTGATGGTTCAAACATACGAAGTTCCGGACAAGGTTTGTTTCCAAGGTCTCTGAGTAGGATTTTACAGTATGCATACCTTGCCCAAAAATATCCAAAAGCTGTAGTGTATTCGGTTTTTATTTTACAATTTCATTGGAATCCACACAATGCTAGTATTTTCTCTTTGTAAGCTCTCACAGTTGTGCGTAACTCAAATTTCTGTGGCAGATTCAATCGTTGTCAGCTGTATTGCTGTTGTATCTGACTTTGCTACTGTTGACTGCACAAGTCGCTGGTGTCGCAGTCCTCCTGTCCTACGCTGTTTCACCTCCACTGGGGTTCCAGTTCATGGTTGCGGCAGTCGTTTTCATCTCAGTCACTGCTTTCAAGATTATTAGCCTGTAAACGTAATTTTTTTACTCATCTCTCACTTAGTGTTTAGTTTACATCATGAATATATTTTGTATACACATATTAGGGTACTACAACTTAGACTATTGACGTTCCTTATATTTTCAGTATTATAAGGGGAACAATTAGTGTTAAAGTTTAAGACTCCTATTTGTTAGGCTTAAGTAACATTTTGACTGGGATACGTTTCCTCTGTAAATTTAATTATTATGTGTGAGTGTTAGATGTGTGATTGTCAATGTTTAAATGGGTGAATATTTGACATGCATTGAAGTACAGTAGAACCTCTTAATCCGAACTAATTGGGACCAGGGGTAGTTCGGAATATTGAATAGTTCGGATTACAGAACATATTGTTGTTTTTACATAACAATAGCTAAAACATGGCTAAAATTGATCAACATTATTTTGGGAAAAGTGAAAATATGTTTTATAAAGTAAAATACAGTGTTTATTTTAATACAGTAGTAAACATGGTGAATAAACAGTACTGTAAATTAAATACAGTATACAGTTAAGAACTGCTGTCCTTTGTATAGAGTACAGCAATGAGGGGTTCGGATTAGTGGACGTTCGGATTACGGGGGTTCGGATTAAAGAGGTTCCACTGTAAAGACAAGATCTCTTCCATGCCGTAATGTATATTTGATGCTTTGATTTTTACCCTATTCTTGGGCCAGTGCATTATTTCAACAATACTGAATGTAAAGCATATGTTGTAAATATAGTTTTTGATCATGTTTTGCTTATCTTTGCTTCGCATGGAAGTTATCAAGAATTTCACCATTAGTAAAAAGAAAAATTAATATTTTATATCAATATACATTTTTTATCGTGAAAAAATCATCTATTCCCTACAGATGTATCCCCATTTCCAATTTGTCTCTAAGCAATTTGCTTGGTATTAAATAAATGGTATAGTCTACAACATTTGGATTTGAAGTAATTTTTAGCGTTGGTCTTTTAGTTTTAAATAATAGATTCAAAACCTCATTAAAATACTCAACTTTTAACTGTGCAATAGATTGTTAAAAGAATAAATAATTTTATATCAAGATTGTAGCCAAACACAGTTAGTAGGTAATCTTTTATATTTCTGTAAATAACATTTTGTAAAAACAGAATTTGTGCAATGCTGCTACAACAATTACATTTTTACTCGTCAGGTGAGTCTTGAACAGGGTTGCCACCTTAGGTTAAAGAAAAATCGGGACATGATGGCCCCGATTAACATAGGCTTAAATGCCGGCATAAGGAACCTTAATCGGGACTGTCCCGGCAGAATCGGGACGGTGGCAACCCTGGTCTTGAATCTTGAATATATCATGCACTCAATTGCACTTAAACAACTTGATAATTCAGTTTATTTTTTTATATATTTAAAAAGAAAATACTCCAATAAATAGGCTACATAATAAAAAATTTGTATTTCAACAGCTCTCTGATTACAAACTGGTTTTCAGGTTGACCTATATGAAAACTAAAAACATTAAATGAAATTAAAACTTAACTACAGAAATCAGAAATGTTAATTGTGCAAAGGTATGTTTATTGCTGTTTCCATTGCAGAGCTAGTCTTCCTATCGTTTTGGCTCTTAACAGTACCACAGAGAGTGCTATTGATGTACAGTAGGCCTAACATGTTATACTCATTACAAGAAATCTTGAAACATATTATTTTTACTACCATTAAAAATGGCTATGGTAACGTTTATAGCCCATGATAAGATTAATAATTTTACACCACAGCCCTATTTAATATGCCTATTTATATTAAAAGAAATTGTTAAGGAAATTCACAGGTAAGTCAGCTTTACCGTCAATTTCCTAAACAATTCCTGGTAAACTTCCTAACTTTTAATCAGATATATTAAAAGGAAATGTTTACAGTATAATTTATGTTTAATTTTGAGTGCTATAAATTTGATAAATATTACAACCACAAGTAAGTAGGTGCAAATAAATCAAACTTAGAGTAGGAATCTAGAGTAGGGAAACAAACATTATACAGCAATATATTTATAAGAATTTGAACCATATTTTCCTCTTTTTTGTTTGGATTCTATTAATTTCAATCCATTCTATATTTCTATTAGTTGTTTATTTTATTGGAATTTATATTTATTCATGTATAATATTGTTTGGTTACATCTCATTATATTATACTTTAGATTTTCTTATATGTGCTATTGATAGATCAAAACACCTACTGATCTTGAAAAAAAATGTTATGATTGTGTGATCTTCCCCGATTGGACATATTTTACGTTTTTTTCTCAATGGCTGCTCCTTTATCACTATACCTAATACTGCTAATACTTGTATGTATTCCATAGTCGTGTAATAAGGTTAAGACTGATAAATAGTGTAGAATATTGTTTTGTTTGTTAACTGGATAATCCCTGTGTTGTAATTTTATATTGTTTGTTTAATGTTCATAATTTATATGCAAGAACTTATTAATAAATATTATTTTTGTACCTATTAAAATGCTTTATTTGTTTACCCTATACATAACAATTTTACTGATCCCAAGAACATTTTTGGTGATAATTAAATTACAAAGTATTCTACTAGTCTAGTTCAAGTTTAATAACTATTGATAGCAATGCAATAATATATTTTTTTATTGGGAAAATTTTCTGCAACAAAATCAACAGATGAATTCACAAAAGCAAAAAAAAATAACTGATGTCCTCCACTCCAGCAGATTTTTTTGCCACAGAGAGTAAGAGATAAATTTATAGTATTTTTTTTTTACTACATGAAAACAGGATATATTTTTTATGTTTTGTTCTTTATGTTTGAAACTTGTTCAATGGTGACTTGGTTCATGGAGTAATTGATAATATTTTTAGAATACAGCAACTCAAAATAAATTACTTAAATTTCAAATTATATCTACATAAAAAATTAATTCACACAGGTCAATATTCGAACAATAATTTGAGGAATATAAAGAAAACAATTTTAACGTAAATAAAATAAATACATATTTTATCACTAAAAAGTAGGTTTTACCTTCGACATACAGCTCAAATGTTGTAACTGCTGTTTAAGGCCGTTTTGACATTACAATGCCATCATCAGACATAAATCTTGGCTAAAGTAAATCGTCGAAGTTAAAACTCATAACACAAAATAATATTTACTAAACGATAAAAATTTACAAAACCGAACAGGCCTGTCGCACAAACGGTACTGGTTGAAATTTTCACGTTCTATGCAAAACAAATACGATTTGAATAATTTTAAATCAATTTTTTCGAACTTTTATATTTCTTTAACAATTTTAATTAGCTATTAGCTTTAAGCTGATTAATGATAACTTAAAAATTTGTTGGGTTTACAGTTTTGCCTCACATTAGGTACATAATTAACTACTGTTTACTGTGCATTTTGGGTATTTTTAAAACTGTATTGACAACAAAACTGAAGTATGATGGAAATATTTATCTCTGTACAATAATAAATTATTTTAGAGAACAGGCCAAAGATTAATTTCTGACCTTTGTCTCTTGGAAGATTTAAACATTTTATCATATGGAAAATATTATGAATGAATCACTTTCAAAGTTAAGAATTTATTATTCTTCTAATAGAGTTGATCTATATTTTTCTCAAGGCATTGGAAGTTAACATGAAAAAGTCAACATAGCTTTATTTCCACTGCAAACTCCTAGGATCAAAATATTACTTTGAAATGCTTTGGCAACAATCCAATAAGGAATGCATTTGAAATGAGTTACACTTGAAGGTATGACAAACTGCTAAGGTGTGTTTTGGCTTGGTCTGTTCTAATAGTTCTGGAGTAGCATTACAGTATTGTCTTTCTTCACTTCCTTCTTTTGATTAGATAAGGTGAAGGTGCAGCATGATAAGAACTGTTGTCAAATGTGGATCTGTCATTGACTTTTAATATTTAATGTAAACTAAAGGTAGTTCCTGATTAGGTCCTATATGTTTGTTCCTGGTAAATAAAATAAAAAAAAAAACTACTGCTTAGGTAGGTGTTTGCATACATTTTTGCACAAACATATCTGTTGGTACAAAATCTTAGTAAAACAGTTGAGTCATCTTTTCTCTTCAGAGTTTCAAATTCATGCTCACACTGCTTCATCATTACTTATTCATGCTAAGGGCTGATGAATAAGAGATGGAAACAATTAATTGCCCTCAACAATCATAGGTCAAGGTCTACAGATGAGTCTGTTTAACATTTACATAATCTGTGAAGATAATGGAAGTCATACACTGCTGCATTGTGTAACAAGCTTTTGTTGGACTTCCATACAAATACAATTACTATGTATTGGCATACTCATAACACAGTTGTTTATTTTATATTTTTTTATTAGAATTGTCTTTTTCATACAATAGGGGTTTGGGGTAGGCCTACATTTGAATGTGTTTAACTTAGACTATAATTTTTCAATTAGAAAATTGATATTAGAAAATCTGACTTTTGAGTACCCTATTTCAAGATTGATTTTTTTCATTTCCTGGGTAATTACTTATTACTAAAAATTTCTTTATGGTTGTTTTGTGTTTTAACCCAAAAGACTGCAATTTTATTAATTCGGAGGAATGAAAAATAATAGTAAACACAGTTACTTTTTCAAGTCAAAATGTTTTTATTTTTTTTATTTAATCATACTTATAAAATATAAATTAAATGGTTGGATGAGTAAATTGTAAGAAATTCTTTAACTACCTACTAATTAATTGTTATATGTTGTATCCTAAATTTAATCAATCCATTATTACTGCTATACAGCCTGTATATTATATTTCAATTTCTAGAAACATGTGAACAAGTATGGCATTAGGAAATATTCAATAACTTTACTTTACTGTTCCTCCTATTTTGTAGAGAATTTATTATAATCAGTGGGATTTTTCCAATTGTCAGTAGAATCTGATAGCCGGACATTATTCAAAACAATGCCTTCTACATTCAACAACAGCTCCAGACATGCACCAATATGTCATAATAGCGAGAGATTGTACATTAGATATTGATATTACTTAAGTGTGCAATTTCGAAATTTGTGATTTGAACTGTACACAATGAATGTGTACTCTTTTAAGTTACCTATATCTAGTAGTGTAGTTTTTTGTTACCTATATCTGTGTTAACCCACAATTGTATTTTTCCTAAGCTGAAAGAACATAATATTTTTCCTAAGATTGTTATATGATATTTTTAAAACTCTTTTATAATAATCGACAGTACTATAAACTGACTTAGTGCTGGTCTCTGTATGAGTCGTATTACAGGGTACTGGTTCTTAGAAAAGCTTTAATCAACTCTGAACTCCATAGCGATTAATCTAATAAGATAATTTGGAAAAACCCAGATTTGGAGAAAATTCCATTTGTGGTTTTCAGAAGCCTTTAAGCTATTCCCCTTTAATCCCCAAAGGCTGAGAAGTGTGCAATCCGATCCCCAACAGTTTCAGAGGGGGGTAGTAAATTTAAGAATTGTAGTTTATCCAATAATATACCCAGACAGCACACTTTCTCCTCAGGACATCCCACGGATATTGCGACAGGATATGCAAGATATCCCATAGTGGTCCTATGGTCAACTTGGGATATCACAGGATATCCACAGGAATGCCTAATGTCCCCGCCCGGGGATGTCCTACGGATAAGCTCACACGCATATCCGTGAGACATCCGAGGTCATCCCAGGGTAGTCCTCAGGACATTCTCAGGACATATGGGACTACTATGGGATGTCCCTGGGATAAAGTGTGGTCTTGTCCTGAACATAAAAAACACAAAATAATATAGATTTAGTATGAAAAGCTTAATTATAAGTTTAGTAAATTGATTAAATAGTTAATAAACACAAATTTTGAAGAAAAAAACGAGAAAAAAGTTTTTGGTCCAGACGGGTTTTGAACCTGGTACCTTCGCCTTGTGAGCCTCTTACCTTACCTCCTGAGCTATCTGCGCTTGTTGATTATGGGTGTTTTCAAGTGGTTAAAGAGTAGCCGACAGTTGCAATGGTCGCAATACTTAAAATATTTTTGATACTACAGTATAGGCTATATATGATTCTGTTAATCTGTTTAGACCTCAAGTAGTTGAATTGTTTTTCTGGTAGTTGGAGAGGATACTGGTATTTGAATATAGATTATTTAATCACCATTAGATTAGCACTGTAATAATTGATTGTTATATGATTAAAATTAGTTTTTTGTTGTTTTATTAATTTAAAGTTAGAATTAAATTCACATTTCACACAACTATGATAGAACTCTAGTTTTCCTGAACTCAGTGGTAGTAATATGTCAGTAAAGTAAAGTCAACCCTTGCTAGCCATAGTATTAACAAGACATATTTTCAATCTGGGAAACCTTAAACTTTTAAAATAAATTATAAAACCTCAACATCTTAATGCGTGGGAATCTTATTTTTAGAAAAAAAAACAGACCAAAATTATTTGTTAAATAATGAAGACGGCCCAATTATAAATTCGGAATTACTGAAAATAATTACATCAAGAACAACACTGTAACATATCCAAAATTCAAAAGATTAATTTTTCTAATATTATTTTTTATTTTTCCAATATCCTTTAAATCATCTGTTTTAACTTTGTTTAAAATTAATTTATTAAGTAAATATTTTCTTTTTGTACTAGTGTAAACACAGCCTGAAGATGGAAACCAAGTTTCTGAAAGCACTAGTGAAAAAAACAAATTATTATATATTGGCCTTGTTCTTGTTGAACATTTAAATTTAGATATACTGTACATTTCATCAGTAATAGTATTTTTTTTCTTCAGTTTGTTACCGGGACATTACGGGACATTACAGGATATCCAGTGGATTTTGTACATGTCCCGGGATGTCATTGGACATTCTGGGATATCCTATGGCATTCGTACATATCCCGGGACTTTACAGGATATCCTGAGGTTAACTTACAAATCCCGGGACATTACGGTATATTGTAGGATATCCTGTGGATTTCGTACTCGTCCCGGGATTTTGCGGGATATCCTGAGGATAGCGCACATATCCCGAGACATTCTCAGGACATATGGGACTACTATGGGATGTCCCTGGGATAAAGTGTGCTGTCTGGGTAGTAAAAACTATTCTGACATTACCTTGTAAATTTATTTTAATTTAACTCCAATTGGAGGTAGTACCTAAAGATAGTAACATTTTCGATTGTAGCTATTTTCAGTCAGGTGTTGTGTACAACGCATGCCGAGTTCACCAAGTCTATGGCAGACCTTTATCATAATCATCTCATCAAAACAAACAAAGATAACCAATACAAAAACAAAAACAAAATGTGTCAGAAACAAAATGTGGACAGCAAGTGTAAGTATAGGTAATTAACATAAGTAGATTAAGGTCTGAAGTGGGTTTTGAGTTACATCTCATACACATTTGTTACCATTTACTTATCCAAAAGTATGTCCAACAAAGAGTGTTTGGATAATAAGCTTTCACCATATTTGATTCATATCACAATAAACATGGTAAACATAGGCATACTTTAATCAATCTCTGGTTGGGTTTGCATTGGATGAACAAAAACATCAACATTGAAAGCTCTTCTGTGACATGTAGCATGTAGCAGTTTGTGTACAAACACAAACACTTGAGGGATCAAGATAAGAGGACATGCTTCGAGCACATGTTCACAAAGGCAAAACAATCAACTAACTCGGCTGTGTGATAATCACGAGCAAACATGCTGACTTGTGATGATCACATCAGCTGTGTTTTCACAACACACTTTGTTAATTAATAATTACATACGGTACTTATTGTGTGAGTGTGGACAAATAGTTATTTTAGTTTAAAAATCTTACCAGATTACAAATTTACAAAACTTCATACATAGAGCATTAAGACTATAACTAACTGGTTCCTACTTTGATTATTTTTACAATCTCGAATCTCATGCGCCCTTATACTAAGAAAACTCCTTTAAATCTTTATGAAGCTACTGAACAAGTATTCTAATGTAAAAAAATAAGTTAAGTTTAAATTAAGTTTAATTCAGTTTAAGCTCTTTAACATAAAAAAATTCAACAGATGACATCACTACAAAAGTAGCAAACACTTTTCGAGTCGTACATGAGATATGGACTTGTAGCATGGGCTGGAACCTCTGCCACTAACAACTAGCAACTAACACTAACAACTAGCAAACCTGCAGACTAAGCAAATTTCAACTTGTCTGATGACATTTTTATAAAAATATTTCCATAAATAATACATATTTATTCCCAATTTAAATAACATTAGATTTAACGAGTACTTATAGGTTTGCTGTTTTGGGGAAGGTAAAAAGTGTTTTTGACCAAACTTTAATAGTATAGGATGAAATAAATTAATTTCATAAATTTTTTCAACATATTTCTATAAAGAAGTAAACTACGACAGTTTTAATTTTTTCCATAAGAATAATATGAAAATTTTAAACTTTAAATTTGTTTATTCTCTCTGTAACCTTTAGGCATACAACAGAGCTTCAATATACTACATTATTTTTTTAAAAGCTCTACAAAACTGTTTAGAAAGAAATTGCAAACTTTTTTGCTTTTAGGGTCAAAAATGGGAAAAGCTCATTTTTACCCCATAAAACCCCACATAAACCCCCGATCCCATGGTCCGATCATCATACTGGTTTGTGATATAACTCAAATTAATGTAGGTTTACACGCTTATACCAAATTTTAACAAAATCGGACCATTTTGCTCGAGTTATCGCGCTAACGGACACACATCTTATCTTACTAAAATGTGAAAGTTTGTGTGTTTGTTTTTTTTTTTTTTTTAAGTTCAATCACGCATTAACTACTGGACGGATTGGGCTGAAATTTGACATGATGATAGCTCACATTCCCGATTAACATATAGGCATATTCTTATCTCAAAAATCCTTTTGGGCTCCGTCCCAGTGGCTCTGTAGTTCCCCATTGAGTATTCATATTTAAAGGGGATTAAAGAATTTAGTGAGCTGTTTCAACTTAAAAAAAAATGGTTCTATGATATGAAAAGCATTAAAAAGTTATAAGATTTACCAACTAGCACTATTATTTTTTTTGCATTTATGAATTCTGCTAATTTGAACTAAGCAGCAACAAAAAACTGTGATACACAATGAGAACTGTCAAAGTAGGATTGTTTACAGTTATGTTTATGTTTTTTTCCTAAAAATTACTGATATTTTACGAATATTTGATGAATTTATTTTTCTCTATTGTTTAGGTGAATTGGTAGAACATTATGGCTATGGTAGATGTGTAATACCAGGGTAATACTATAGTAAATTTAAAGAAGCAAATTTTATCAAACTGTGTTCTCCCCCCATTGCAAACGCAAAGCTTGAGTATAACTGCAATAAGCGTTTTATACATGCCAAGTCAGAATAACTGCAGGACTCCACAGACTCGACAGCTGCAGGGAAGCATTCAGGTCACTCTAAGTACTTACCATTGTAGCACTCTACATCCAGGAAGTTGTGTTATTTGCGATAAGAAATAACCTTACAAGGCGTGGCAAAATGCACCAACACTTAATCGACCTTCCTACTCTTTAAAAGAATTCCATCAACAGATCTTGTGTGTGTCTGACTAAACAATAAAACACCTCAACCACACATGTAGAAAAAATTGTAAATTGCTACTACTATTCTTAATAAATGTGTAAATAAAGATAATTGTCTATTGTTAACGCTTCTACAAAATAAAAAGATTAATTCTGTAGCTTATAACTCTGGAATTCAATGTTTTCCTGTTTTTAACTGATTAAACTAGAATAAAACATTAACAAATTGAAAAATAGTTAGTTTAAATTTATCAAGAAGAAAAAACTATAAAACGTGAATATTACACAAATTTGAAAATGATAAACATTAACATTCAAATTGAAATCTTCAAGGTTTTTTACTTGTTTCTATACATTATTCGTGTGGTTTTGGAGTTGTAGCAGAAATTTAATTATATGAAATACCGGTATGTAATATTTCACTAATAAAAGGTACTTTTAAGAGTTAATTCATTTTTGTTAATATTGCTAAAAGTTAGTTTTTAACATTCAATTATATTACAAGATTTTCACTAAACAAGGCAGGATACCAGTGTCACTGACCTTTCCTCAATTTCCTCAACGATTTGTCACAAAAGGAATAATGACTTTACAAATAACTATACCTAAATCTATTGTTTGATAAAGGGATAAGCAGTGATAATTGATTACCCAAAGCTAAAACCGTTTTATACCTCTTACGTATTTCTCAAATGTAATTTTGTCAAGTCATTTCCACATCATCATCTAACACTGTAGGTTATCCTACCATTGTGAAAAAATAATTATTTAATTTATCTTTAAACACCAAGATTTTATTTTTATAATAAAGCTATTTTTAATGTAAACATTGATCCAGTACATGAGTGTTTTAAGCCTTCCAAACCTATTAGACTTGGGACGTTGATTTGTTTTATCTGGTATTTTTGGTTGTCTAATAGGTCCCCAGCTCAAATTTCATTATCAGTGTTTCAAGGTTTTTCATGTCCAACTATGTTATTAATACGCTATGAAACTTTAATTGTAAACAATAAGGTTTTTTTTTGTTTTAAGATTTAACCTGGCATATTATATAGGTACCAAAATGTGCATAGGTGTGTAGATTTGCAAACTGACCTTACATTTTCAAAAAGTCCTTTGGGCTCTGCCCCAAAGGAGTGAACACACAACTGTTAAAGCCCTCAATTAAGTTTGTACAATGGATAACATTATCTCCATGTTTATTCAGAAAAAATGCCAATATACATTGCATTAGCCAAGTTAACATACTATAAACATTAACTAACATAACATGTTAAAAATGTATAAATTAAAAGTTTATTGAGACTGCCTGTCAGCAAGAAATGATCAAACATTGTAGATACATCTGCGAGAAATTACTTTAAGTGCCTTTTGAATATTCAAGGTGCCGACATTATCGCGGGAGATGGCCATGATGGCGCCGCAATCACAAGAAGACTCTGGAATTAGTATTGAATTTAAAGTCACAAAGTATTGATGATTGACGACTCCTTTGACATCACCTGTATAAAGTTTTGAGGAATCGAGTATTGAATTTGGCTGATTCCTATCAAAGCTCGTCCCGCAAAATTCACGGCTCTCTAGAGTTTTATTTATTATAACTTTTTGAACAAATTTACGGCTCATTCCCGGTTTTAAGGTTTTCACAGTTGATATTGTATACTACTATAGTATAATTGTGTGTGGGCACAACCAACAAAAATGTAAGACGACTTTGTATAACCTCAAATTTAGGTCTAATTTTGTAATGATTATAGAAGGCTATTTCCACAGTAAAATGAAAACAGTTGTTCACACAGAGCGAAAGTGTCATTTTGGTACTTAATCATATTTTTGTGTTTTTTAAGTACGATTGCGTAGCAAAAAGAGCCACTTTTGCTTCTAGTGATGAAATAAACTATTTTTTTTAGAGACTTAAGGTGAATCTGATTCTGGCCAATGTTATGAACAAAGTCATGTAATAAATCTAATATTATTTATTATTTTTGTATTGATAGAATATGTAAATATACCTTAACTATTTTTTACATGAACAATCACAAAACAGTGTAAACATTGTGAAAAATAAATCTTTATTCAAAATTTGTTTTAGGTGTATTTGCAGTCAAGTTTCAGCAGTAGGCCTATGTCAATATATTTCATTAAACCCCACCTTTCAGTTGTTAAATGTTAAACTTATCAATTGAAAATACAAATTGACATAAACTGTGATTATCCACAGGTTATAAAATTAGTGGATAAGTTATTGATAATTTGATTTTCAATTATTAACATGACAAATTATGCAATTTAATTATCAAATTACCACATTTATGGTTTCGAGTCTCAATGGGCCAGCATTTCTACTTTACTAAGGGTTTTAATTTACAAATTTTTATATGTGAAAAATTGTGTTTATAATACAAACGCCTCCCTGATTTATTACATATATATTTTAACATACAAAACTCATCTATACATTTTAAGAATCCCCCTTTTTTTGAGACCAGGTAAAATATTTTTAAATAAGATGAAATTGAGTGGCGGTCCCAGGATTTAATTAGGGGGGGGGATGACCACCATGGGGTCTGGTGGTATTGAATATCCTACAGAAAAAAGGGGGGTCCGGGGTCCCCCCCGGAAGACATGTGGAATTTAAAGCCTAAAAATGTATTTATGTTAGCTAATAAAATATAATATATTTCGGGTGGGGGGATATATCCCTCCCATCCCCCCCCCCCTGGGACGCCACAGATGAAATTTGCAAAGGTGATCTTGGAATAAGACACTAAAATTTCTTAAATAATCTTTTATTTTATAAAACACAACTCAAACACACATATACAGATAAAAGTGTAACTAATAAAATAAAACCTCTAAAGAGAGCACACTGCTAGGTGCAATAAATAGAAACAAAAGAATTTACAAAAAAATTGCTTAAACTGGTTCCTTGATGGCATATAACTGAATAGGAACCAAAACAAGTTAAAATAACAATGCCTAGGTGGTAGAGAGAAATAACAAGAAGTTGCTAGAAGATTACGTTTGTTGTTCAAGTTATCTCAGACTAAAATGTATTCTAGATTATAAATAGCTAAACTCTTCCATAGGCTTCCTATATCAACATGGCAAAGGTTATTCTTATAATTGTAAGAAGAAAAGCTAAGTGACTATTTATAAACAACACATTTCCATTGCTTTATCATGGGAAATGTCGATAATTGAAATATTCTAACCCTTATGCATTTTTAATTACTTCCCAAGGTATCTATATCCAAAAAGTCTAATAAGGTTTTAATTAATATTCACTGTCTTTAAATGCCATCATAAATGAATTTGCCACATAAGAACTTCTAAAGCCAACCTAATGCTATATTTATTGGGATTACCTGAATAACTCAATAATTTTGACTTTTCTTTAGGTTAACATTACATTTTGACCTGCCAAAACTCATCTTTCAAACCTAAAGCAATTTATTTTATTTTTAATATCGATCAAATTGTGTGACTTTTCTGATGGTAAACCTATATAATTTTTGGTCTAGAAACTGCAGTACCCTTAACTCAAATTATATTTGTAAAAAAAAAACATTCTAGATATATTTATTGGAGGAATAAAAAAAGACACAAAAACTATTGATGACATTCTAGATTCGTAGACTATTAACTAAAATTATAAAGGGAAAGAACCCTTTTATTTTTAAAGACAATACTGCCAAACCACGTTAGTACGAACCTCGGTAAAGAAATTCCTCGATGAGACGAATTTAAAAAAAAATCCCTTGAAACTTTCATAGAGGTCAATGTTAAAAACACCTCTATAGAACTTAGTAATTAGGTTAAAAACCTCCATAAGATGAATTTGTTTGTCATATGGGCTAGGACTCATTAACCACAAAACCTCAGACAAATGCGACCTTTATATGACAAATTCCTCATGATCTTAATCTCCAAAGTGTGTAGTTTTAAAAACTAACATAAGCTTGTCCCAACATGAAACCCCACCCATCCCTCTTCCTTCCTCAGTCATTCACTCAGAGCGAGGAGAATCCTCTATAAGACGAATAACGGCAGTATTAAACCTCAATAAAATGAACCCCTTTGTTAAGAATAAGAATATCTCGATAATACAAAATTTTCCCATACCCCTTAAAATTCATCTTATAACACTTCGACCTTACAGTATATTTTGGTTTTATAAGTTGAATTTCTTCATCAATGTTAAGTACTGATAAAGGAAATATTAGATTCATGAAACGCTGATACACCAGAGAACATATTTAAAGGCAAAGATAAATGATTAGGGGATAGTGTTAATATGTGTGTAGCTGCCTAAGATTAGCTGATTCTTTGCCTGAAAAATTTATCCAAAGCTCAAAGACAGTCGAAAGCCAAGGATGTAGTATATGAGGCCTAGTTTCTAATTAAACAAGGTGAAAATTGTTACATGATCAAATAAAATCATCCGATTTTTAGGCTAGCTCTATCACTCAGCTGCTTAGAGTGGGTGCAACATTTATGATTAAAACACTGTTCAAAACAACTCATTTACAAAATGATCACCCATGTTCATCTAATGTTAAAAAAATTTATAAACATCACTGTTTAGCTCAAGGTGGATGAACTATGAGTGGGATTGTGTTACATATACGTAAAATTTCAGTTTGGTAGATATGCAAAACCTATACTCAGTCTAAGAATTATAAAATCAATGGTAAACAAGGCTGACATATATATTTCATTTTTTACAAATGTTAACGTTCATAATTCTTTATGTAATTCTGAATAATACATAACATGCAAAATCTGGTACAAAAATATAGCTCTAAAACTATATACTACAGCAACAACTTAGATATTAAATATTAGCACAGATTTTAAACTATATATTTGATATTGCTAGTGGTGTATTATATTAAGATTAGTCATTGATTTTGCAAAGATAAAATGAATAGCTTCCAAGGTAGAACACACACTGCAAATTAGATTCTTTTGGACAACATTAACAAAACTTAACAAATTAGTTTGTGATCAAATAATCACAACTAATTTTTCAAATTGTTGCTTGTGTACTTTGCACTTACAGTGAATGCGTGACCAAGATAATGAAATATACTAGTGATTTAATGAAGCAAGAGTGTACCAAGTTAAGTGTTTAAATATTATTTTTTTATATAGTAAACTATCAAAAATGAATATAAATATTTTAAGACATTACCAGCTTTAATAGTCAATGAAATACCTAATTTTCAAACATATAAATAAAGATAAAACGTCAAATATAACTAAACAAACCTAAATACCAACTGCACAATGCACATGCATTAGATTGATTTTTAAATCAAAACAAATTGAATTACATAAGGAGTACGCCCAAATATAGTGTTTCCATAACGTAAACATGTTAAACAATACACTATAAATATCAGCCCTTAATAATCCAAAATTTGCCGATTAATCTAACGAGCATTTGACATTTTTGAATACCTTACCTAGCGATCATTTAATTTTATTTTTGGAATGTTCTTTATTGGCAGTGTGAATATTTTTTAACACCTCAGTAGTTTTACAGATCAGTTTAAAAGACAAAGAGGTCAACATGTTCAAAAGATATTATTAATGGCAGTTACATATTGTAAAATTGTAAAGAAATCAACCCTTATAAAAAAAAAACATTAGCTGATTGTGATGGGCATGATTGGTGTACTTTAGGGAGGGGTAATAGTCGGATTCGGATCATTCTTAAATGTTGAAATACTTCTATTTCGTATTCGTTGTAATTATCTAGAGAAATTAAGAACAAAATTATCAATTTTAAATATAACGTCAAGGTTTCATATTCTAAAAATCAACTATGAAACAAGTTTTTGTACATATCCTAATAAACTATGGCTGTTTACTTCCACCTTGTGAGGCATTGTACTTTGCTTAGTAAACATATTCAATATCTGAAATCCTTTGGTACAATCATTGCATGTTTACAAGTCCAACGTCCTCGACACAATTTCAAATAATTTAGTCAATTATTGTCTTGACACAAACAACCTTATCAGTATTGCTATTGCTACATTACAAATCATACAAAACTTTAAAAGCTACCTTAGTATTGGTAACAGAATAGCATTAATACAAATAAACATTTATATAAAATTCATATATATTGAAAACAAAGAGCAAAAATAGGACGCACTTTTAAGTAGCCAGGGTTGTGCTATCATAATTAGGTTAAGCGAATTTCAAATACAGGAAAAGTAATAAGTTGTTGATGCAAAAACTCTATCTTTTTTCCAAAATTACCCATGAGCTACAAAAAGTGTTTAAGTAGAACCATGCTAATGTATTCCTACAACCCATCGTCCTGACTATTCGGCTGCTCCTCCACTGAGCCTAGTATTGAGCTATGTACAGTTACGTTGACTGTTACTTGTTCAGCTAGTACGTTCCTTGGCGGGAGGCAGCATCATCTTGACGAGAGGTCGGTACAGATGCCAGCCCATCCACAGCGCGTGTCCCACAAACAGAGTGTTGACAAACGCAGCGAACCACTTGTGTACGGACAGCAGCACGAACGGAGCCATGCAGTAGCCCATGAACACCAGCGTGTACAACTTGAGGACGACCCACCTTGCGTGACTCAAGCCCGGCTGTGACAGGAACTCCAGTGCCTTCTGGTTGCGTGCCAACATCGACTCCAGCTGCAACAACAGTAACTGTAAATATTAACTATTACCAGAAATTGTTGAATTTAACACCTGAGTGCCACTAATCCAAACTACTTGTTGGATAAAAGGTTCTCTGTGTGTATTTAAATGGAAAATAAAGCTATGTGTTTTGAGGATGTCAAGCCAACAAGAAAACCAAGAACAACGTTCCCAAACAAAAGTCATAAAAACCCTACAGGCGTAGATATAAAAAAAATTAAATCATCGTTTTGTTGGTTCTTGTTAATCACACTGTTGGCTGTATTTAATAACATTTTAAATATTGAAGATACATCAGCTGTTAGATTTGTTTTTATTTTAGTTTGTTGTTTACTTTTCTTTGAGTTAACCTTTTGATTCTACCATAGTCAAAGATTCTACTATAGATTTCCATATTGCACCAAGAGAAGTAACAGAACGTTTTTCTGATAATGTGGGATTGTGTTTAAATTTTTGGATTCTGTTTTGATTGTTTACCTATAAGTTCAATATTGTTTATTTTAGAAACAAAGCAATAATTGATGTTGCAGACAAATGTTTTGTAAATAATTAAGTGACATGATAACTATGAGTTTAGACAGATCCTTTCTGTTCCAACTGGGAAAAAAACGCATCTGTAGAGTATTTTTCTTTGTGACATGGGTATTGATAAAATTAATTTACATTAATAACAAGCACTAAATCAACCAGAGTTTGCATTGGCAGTGAAGAATCAATCACCATATCTTCTCTGCGTTCAAGTCCCCCGGGGCGAGGCACGGGCAGAACAAATCGTTTACATAAAAATACATGGTTTTGATTTTAATCTAATTTTAGTGAATTTCCGGCTAGTTTAAACAATTTAGTTATCTTAACAGGTGTTGATCCCAATCAGTTTTGATTAGTAGGACTCTGGAGTATAATGTTTTTAACAATTTACCTATTAACTCTGAAAAAATGGAATTCATCACCTGTTTGATGTGCATCATTAATATTGCTCAGCCTAATATTCCATAAAATGGCCAGCAATTCAATAAAACTATTTTAAACAATTTTTAATAAATGGTATCATAAAACTATCACACACTTTCTCGTATTAGATAAACATTAAAATTGAACATCCTACTACTTACTTTTGTGAGCAAAAAATTAAACAATTATTGTGGGTAACCAGAGGGGTGACATAGAGATGTCAAGTTACCACATACCAAAATTCATTAAAATCGGACCACAGGTGCACATCTGTACACATTCACACACAAACAACTTCAAAAACCAGTTTTCTAGTTTCAGGGGGACTCAAAAACGGATTTGTCCATCCAAAACTCCAAAATGTCGATCAAAATACTTTCTGCATATGCAATGTATAGGAGAAAGTAAATGTACCATATACAAACAATATTATTGCAGAACATACATCTTTTTCCATTACAAGGCAGGTAAACTCAAGGAAGAAGCACATGTAGTAGCCAGAGTGCAGTCCATGCCACACTGCCAAGAACAACAACACTCCTAGCTGGGACAGATATCTGTTGCCCAGGAACTTGAGTCTCTTGTAGATATACCTGCAAATTGTACAACATGATTAGGTATGTAAGAGGAAAATCGCATAACTAGGAAGCTATTGAACTTCAATAAGCTCATGGACCGAGGCAATAAGGTCTATGGTAAACTATATACTTCATTTTCCTACTACTGGATCTTGAAGATTTAAATTGTTAAATAAATTGTTACCTTTTCAATATCATTTGGTTTGTCATATGACTACCAGTTTCGTGACGACGGTCACATAGCCAGGTCGATCCTCATTAAAACAATTTGTTAAATACACTTAAAGTTTATACAGACAGAACCCAATGAACACAGGACATATAATATTTACAAAATGATGTGACTGTCATCACGAAAACGTTAGTCATATCATGCATATGAAAAACCAAAGGATATTTAACAGGATTTTACAACTTAATAGGGGTGCTACTACAGGGAAGCCACGGAACTTCTGAATATATTCATACATTTTCCCTGGTTTTTCTGTGGTAAAACCGGATTTTCCCGTCGTGATTCCTGATCACTAAGTGTACCTTTTAACTAGGGGTCTCCAGGTTCCCGATATTATCGGGTTAGGTTAGATCGACAGTTGGCCCCACCGATATGGGTCTAAAATGATCATCAGGCCAACCTCGGGTCGAACTGAGCCAGGCACATAATTTCACGACCACAGAAAGTTTGCAAAAATGCACAATTGAAAATGGACCTGGTTGTCCCAGAATTCCTAGTCTGTGGCCACCCTGAACTATGTCATATTCAAACTCAACTGAGGAAACATGATTGATAATTAATTGTCTAAGAGGAGGTGTTGATCAAACAAGTTTGACTTGCTTTAAATAGGTTCTTTAGCATTGATCCTCCCTGAAAGATTATTCAATACTCTCCTCATTTTTAAAAATTCAACAAAAAGTTTGATAATGTTGGTTGAGGAGCTTTGGCTGAGAACTATTATAGTGATTCTCATCTCCTGGCGCTTGCAACTGCCAAGCAAATTTTGTATGGTTTGGAATGTAAGAAAATTAGTTTAAAAAAATGGAGATACAGTAATTAATAGGTGATAAAGGGGAGAAGGCCGGATGGATAAAAGAAGATGGATAAGGTAAAAAGGCATGTGGAGAAGAGAGTAGTGAGATGGAAGGTGGTGGAGGTTTTGAAGAAGATAGAGATGCCTATTCAACGCACTTGGTGTGACAGAAATATTCTTATCTCTAAATTACAATATTATGGATTTAATGGTCCTCCATTATATTTTTAAGAGGCTACATGCAAAATCGGAAACAAGCAGTTTGTATTAAAGGAAGATGGTCAGATGAAGTGATAGTCGAGTGGGGAGTGCCACAAGGTTCAGTCTTTGGCCCCCTTCTTTTCTTAATCTATATAAATGATCTACCCTCTGCTATTGATTGCCAAACCGTTCTGAAAGCAGACAATTCTACCTTTCTATCTACAAGTAAAATCTATAAAGAACTTGAAAAATTGGCTGACAAAACATTAAATAATGCTGTTTTGTGACCTATTTTGTAGTATACATTTTCATCGCTCAGTGAAAGAAAAAAGTATCACATTTACGTCAAACATAGGTCAGTGGAAAAACCTTAACAATATTAATCGATTCAGAAATGTTTAATATGTAAAATGTTTTTGTATAATAGAACAGATTGGAAATTACAAAGATTGCACTTTCTATTATTTATTTTCAATTGCTTATTATTTTACCGTTTACAATTTTGAACTAGCAATATCAGTTGTCTAAAAACATCTAAAATCGAGTTTAGTGAATGTGTATTTTTAAAGAATTTGATAATGGGTTATTTTCTGCAAGACAAAGCATTGAATAGTAAAAAGGATTTTACATGCGTTAGCAATATTTATCTATAGGTATATATTTTAACAGACCAGCAATTAAAAAGGTGCGTTTTATAATGGTAAGTGTATGGTCTGCCGCGGATTCTGCCAGTCAGGAGTGGGGGGAGCTAGACCATGCCGCCAACACTGAGCCAGCAATCCATGAGCTGTTTATATCGTTGATCATGATATGCTACTTTTATCGCATTTTATAATATCATCTTGAGGCAAAGATGATACAAACAACACATTGACTTGGTTAAAGCTGAGTAAACAATAGAGTGTACTTATTTAAAATTGAAATTTTTTTTAATATTTTAAAATGGTCTTTAAGATTTTTACTGTCCAATTCTCAACTATATCAATTTTCCACAACTTACTGTGCAACCCAATGGTTCGTGTTGATGTTGAATGACTCTACATAGTGTCCGAACTTGGTGGCTCCTTCAAACTTCATCAGGTCGACATTAGCACAGCCGTCCCACTTAGGTTTGTCTTTCTCATCCTTTCCGTTGTATGTCAGTCCTAAACACATGTTAAGATTAGCTTACAAAAATAATTAATAGATTGTGGTATTGTAATAATAACGTCTTAAAACGATATCTCTTTAAGAAAATGTCTTGTTATTGAAGTCTTGTTTTCCAGTTTTTTTTTTCACTACTTTTGTACTGGCCTGTGATTTTTGTTTTCTTCTTTCTTGTAAGACAATAATTGTATTTTTCTGTAAAAATGGTGCAACCGTTTACAAATAAATAAATAAATAAGAGAACTGATGTTACGATGACAACATTTTCTTGACTGCAGGGTGTCTACCAGTTGATCAAACCAAATTTCAATGATGTTAGAGGGGACGACGTAAAGATGCAACATTTTTGGTACCGATAATGTAGTATTTTTTAGTGTCTTGAAAATGGTTGGGCATTTTGTATTTTGCATGGTAATATTTTGTGCCGTAACGATTTTGAACTCTTTGCCTGCTCCCAAAATATCTTCGCTCTGTGATAAAAACTGCACTATCAACTTAATCATGCACGGTGCAAAAGTAAAGGCAGGTTCAGGAAACTTTATTTTAGTTAGGACCGTTTTTTCCATGACTTTTGAGATCTTAAAATGAATTTAGTCAAACCCTAAACCGTGGTAAAATCAATTACTTTAAAGTGACCTCAGTAACCAGTAGACACCCTGTTGAATTAGGAGAATCTAGAATTGGTATAGAGTAAAAAGTCACAAAGTTTAGACAATCAAAGATCCCTCAATATCATCAGTACTTAAAGTATTTTGGAATAAAAATCAGAAATGGCCCATTTCTACGTGAATGGTTCAACCAGAACTGGTTCTCAACGTAGAATTGGTACCCTGTGGAACTAATCCAATGGAAAACCTGGTCCCATGGGTGACAAATTTGCAGGGTTCTGCTTTAATTTTTGTATATACATAATCAGGAACTCAAAAGCAGTTAGTCTACTTTTGTGAAGAAAACCCCCCATTGAAATACTTGAGAAAGTGGAACATCCAGTATTCGTTACATCTCTTTTAAATTGCACGTTGGTGGCCCCTGGATTACTATAAATGACTAATAATATGATATAATTACCTGATGAAATCATCTAAATTTTGTTGATGTTAGGTTAAAAACCTACATGCTTCACCGTTAGTACGGCATCGTCATGGTAAAAAAACATAAACGACATTACTGTCATACACCCACAATAAATAAATAACACAAACAAACATTTAGATAGGCCTATCACACAACGTGGCGGTCTCGGCGCAGGTAGTAGACTGCAGTAGATAGTCCGCGTCGTGTGATAGGCCTATCTAAATGCTTGTTCGTGCTATTTATTTATTGTGTGTGTGTGACAGTGAAACATGTAGGTTTTTAGCCTTACATCAACAAAATTTGGACTACTTGAGGAGGTAATTATACCAAATTATTAGTCACCTCTTTGCTAGTCTAAGTCTTTCAAAAAAATTCAAATTGCTTGAAATTGAAAGCCCGAGAGTTCTGAATAAAACCAGACAAAAGTCAGGTGGTGAGCCAAACTTGCTACCAACTCACCAATTTCAATGCAGACACCTTCGCACAGCAGCCAGATACAGATGTATTTGTACAACGCAATGTGGCCCCAGATGCCCATGTAGAACAGTCTTTTTATAATTCCCAGGGACTGAAACACAATGAAAACCATACGACAATTTTTGACTAGTTTTAAGATGGGCTTGAAAAATGTTATCTTTGTTTAGTTGACAAGTACTAAGTAAACTGTTAGTAAACAGTAAGATATGTCATCAGCAACAGAATCACCACTAATACAAGTATTTTGATGCAGTCAAAAAGATTAATGTAATATTTATGGAACATAGATCAGTTAATAGTAGTTTACGCAACGATTGTGTAAAGAAAGTGTAAACAACACGAGTAGAAAATTTAAGGTACGATCTTTGGTGAGTGCCTTAAAAACTTCTACGAGTGTCGTCAACACTATTTACACGAGTTGCGTACAATACTTGACCTACGACAGTATTTAATTACTAAAATCACTACTCACAACTTCTAAGAGAGGTTATGATTTCGTTTATAACCTATCATTGCCACTGACAGTGATGCAACGTAACATTGTACCAAACACTAATTGCACCACTCAACTAACAATTAAATTGGCCTGAACAGCTGATTAGTTGAAGTTCAAATCATTACAATTTTAATTCTTCTCTCTCCATCCTTGTACCTGATTGGTTCTTTATCCGTGTTTTTATGAGTAAAACTATGCTGTTATGAAAGTAAACAATGCTTTTATGTGAAACTTTTCAATTCTAAGAACTGAACTGAAACGGCTACTTAAAAAGACAGTCGTAGGTAAATTTGTTAAAGCAATAAAAACAATATGAGATTTACTTTTAACCCTTCAAGGTAGTTTAATGAGCCTTCCTCATCACAACTAAAAAATACTACTTTGGTTTGTCGAGACGTTCTCATCATGACGTGATCTGTCAGTGAACTATTTTCAACTAGTACTGTATACAGCACATTGTTCATTAGTTTCTCAATATTTTACAGCTGTTCCACATTGTAGTGAAGGCGACAAGACAGATGAATTGTTTTCAAACATAAAAACCATGACCCATTGGTGTTAAAAAAAGGTTCTGGATTGATGGGAGGAGTACGGGTGGGGGAGTGGGGGTGGAGTATAGGTGGTAGAGACTGTGGAAGAGTATGTTACCAGGAATTCTTCACTGATCAGGTAGTCGTCAGGGAAGTACAGGCAACCCAACTGATAGATAGCCAGGTAGAAAACTCCAGTGAGACTACGATAAGCAGCGGCTCCCAAACAGTCTGGTAGGCCTGTCTCCTGAAATGTACATTCTGTGTCAAACATAATAGTTTATAACATTCTACTACAATAAGTTATCATTTTCAATTAGTGCCTCCCTAACAAAAAATGTTATTATTTCAAAGTAGGCGTTGACAGATACTAAATAAATTTATAAAATTCATTGAAAGGTGAATTTCTCACATCAGAAAAAATAAATAAAACAATTAACCTTGTATTTATCAGACAGTATTATTGGAAACTATGCTACACTAAGAGAAAAATATCACATTTTTAAAGATAACAAGTAAAAACCAAATAAACAGTTCAGACTGAACTGCAATACAAAGCTCAATTGGTTTCTAACACAATAATACTTACAGATCCTCTAAACTTTCCATCGACAAAATCTTGATACCGCTTCATGGAAAATTGAGGGCCAACTAAAAAGCTGGCAGGAAAGTACGAGTGAGCCATGATTTCCAAAATTGACGGACACTTGCTGAGGGCTACTTTTTTGTTTTCCGCAGACAAACTTTCCTGTAACATAAAATAAATTGTATTAAGTAATAGAAAATCAAACTTATTTTTCATTAATGGGTTATTTTATAAGATAATTAGTTATTGTTACCAACTTGTATATTACAAAACAATAATTTCAAACATAAAATTAATGACGTTTACAAATTTGACAGCTTGATTTTTAAGGGGATATGATTGTTGGTTACTCAATGGGTATTTCTCAATATGTAAGTTAAATCTTCACAAGATATTAGTGAAAAGGCTCTTTCTTCACTTTCTCCTCAGGAATTACTCCTTCAATATTGTTGAAGGAGTAGTTTACTCCTGAAGCAAGTAATGCTGAATGGATTATCCAAGAGAAATTAATTAATCAACTTAAAGATTTGTTATAAGGAATATTAGTACATTTTTACAGAGGTTTTAAATTTAACGATTATCATGTTGTTGTGATCGAACAGAGGAAGAACAAAATCAGAAGTAGGAGTGGAGGGGGGTGAAAGCCACCATTTAAAACATAGGGTTGTTTTATATTAATTAATGCATCTAAAAAGACCACCATTATTTAATTAAAATGTTTGAATCTGTTTGAATGATTACTCATAAAATTTGGCAAATGCGCATTATCAGCCAAGTGATGCGGGAATTTTAAAATAATTTGTTATGCTACTTCTTTCTTGGTATAGGCTTACTTTATTTTATTTTTAATGACATTGTAAATTGAAAAAATTGAGACTAAAAACTTTAGTATATCTCACCGGTGGCCGAGCTCCATCATACAAGTCAAAAGCCAGTCCCGTAAGTCTCAGGGTCAACACACATTGTGGCATTGTCCATTTGATGTCGTAAGTTTCCGTACTTGTCACGTAATATCCTGTAAAAGACCAGATAGAAACTCGGGTGCAATGTATGTTTTACTTTGTAAATGAAAAAGAAACTCATTCATTCAATTAAGGTTAAACAAACCAAGGTAACCTTTTTATTTGTTCTATTCTGAAACCATTACTTTCATTATATTTACCTTAAAAAGTAGTTAGTGAAAATTATATTGCAGTTAAATTAGTAATCAAAGTAATTAAAATACATAGCTACAAAACACAAGGGAATGTATAAACAATAAAAGTTTATCCACTAAAAATTACAAACAATCATTACGATCACTACAAACAAAGAAATCACTAATATCGTATTAAAATTCAAGTCTTTTAAACCTAAACCAAGAGAGAGTAAGAGGTCTCAAAGGGAAAAATAAGATCGGATAGAATTAGAATTGAAGAGTTGAGAAGAGGAATAGTTGAAGAAAGTTTGAGAGAACGAATAGAGAAATCGAGGTTGAGATGGTTTGGTCAATTAAGAAGAATGGAAAATGATAAAACCCCCAGAAAAATGAGTGAGCTTCACATGAATGGAAGAAGACCAAGAGTAAGACCTGGAAGAAGATGAATTGTCGAGGTGTGACGAGATTTGGAAGCAAGAGGAGTGCAGTGGCAGTATGTGGAGGAAGAGGAATTGTGGAGGGACAGAAGAAGTTGGAGAGACCTAGTGAACACCCAGACCCAGAGATAACCGGAACAGGAGAGGATAAGAATGTATGTATGTAAACCTAAACCACTATTTTAATAAAAAAGTAGTGATTAGATGTAAAAGTTAAGACAATTTGTTACACTCACCTATTAAGAGATAAGCCATGGTAAAAATTAGGATTAAAACAGCAGAAAATAGCGTTCCACCAATTAATCTGAGTACGATGTAGACACAAACAATTGTAGCAAAGGTGTGAAATATATCCCATCCTGCAACAAAGAAAGTGAACTTTATTATTGTTCTTGTAATTTAAACAATTACTATACAGTAATTTCTACTGTCGTAAAGGGCTTGGTTGGTCTATCCCTTTGCCTGGAGTGTGGGGCTTTTCTCCTGAAGGTCCTATAATCTGATGATTTAGAGCCCATCCTAACCTATATTGAGAGCAAAAATTGACCAGTAGCTCTCTCGAATCGGGAAAACTTTCTCTCAATTGAAAATGTGTTTTTCTATAATTTCATAACAAATACATGATGCCTAATGGTTCTGATTTTGTTGGGCGCTTGTATTTACAGAAAAGACCTGCTAATCAATCCCAAATAAATTTACTAATAATTAAACACTTCTTAATTAGTAAGATAGTAATATATAAAATATTTAGTTTGTAAGATTTATTTGTGAAATAAACTATCGGTAATTGTTTCTGTTTTAGAATTTTAGATGTTTTAAGGAGCTCTTAATAGGTTTATGGACAAACGAATAATTTTTAATGAGCCTATTATTAAATATCCAGGTAGGCTTAATAAGTATTAACTCGTTTGCGGCGGCACTTCAAATGGCAGGCGTATCCCCAGTGCGGCGCAGCCCTCAGCGTCGAACAAACCTGATTGCCGCGTGTGATTGGCTTTCCAATTTCGGTCTGACGAATAGCAAATAACGTGCGAGAATGTCCTGCTTTACAACGAGAGTCGAAGTAGTTCGCTAAACACCCACAGATAGCAGCACTGCTTGGAACGTAGCCGGTCCCATTGGAATTGAATTGCCAAATGGAGGGAAAAAGAGGGGACAAAAAGTAGATTTTTGAGATTGCCAGACGGAGATTTTAGGCGGTAATTTACTACCAACCTACACCACAACTAAATACAGTATACTATTGAGCAGTGCTGTGCAAGGTTTCAAGTTTCTAGCTCTAATCCTGGTTTAAAAATAAATCATTTCGTACTGCATTGCAGCTTGGGAGCGATCCCACCCACCAGGATGGCATTAGGGTTCCGTATGGGAGCGATCGCTCCCATGCCACCGCGAACGTGTTAAGCTGTCAAGTTTCTTTTGTGGTTCATAGAATTGCAAGAATACCCTATGTGTGAGGAGTACAGGATTATATGTCCTCAATGTATTAATCCATAGACAGTATCTTTTTTTTTGTGAAGTGTATAGTCAAAAAATTAATTTTCAAAAATTTAATTTCATTGGATTAAGTATTAAAAACACGAAATTAAAATGTATGGCTGCTAAAGATTTAGACAAATAATGTGGTTTTACAAGGCTTGAAAGTGTTCATTTTGATAAATGTTAGTAGTTAACCCACAAGCCTGTAAAAAAGTGAAAATTTGCAATAGGCTTAATTTCTTAAACAATCTGGCTCAAAAACACAATTGTAATTTAATCTGAAAACTTCCAATATTATAGTAAACTCGTCATTTTAAACAACATTTAAAAATGCTTTGGCATAATTTTAGTGGAGAAAAATATGCTAATTTCTGAGGATAACAACGTTTTACGTTGAATTCTGTACAAGTTGTTTTATTTTTGGAAATTTCAATCTGCGGCTGAATAGCCTGGCTTGTTCTACACCATGTTTAAAGCAACAGTGGTACCATACGGTGACTTGTGAAACTACTGAGCTCATCGCAGGAGTTCCCTTGTAACCAAACAGCCTTAATAGTCAATCATGGTTTACAGATATCTTCTAATGCCAATTTCCTAGGTGCGGAAATGGAGCACAGAGTGCGGAGAAGCAATTTTAATGGTCCGCTCCACTTCTAGGAAAACAGTACTATTAAATTACCTTAGACAAGAGGAAAACGGACTCTGCACACCTCATCCACACCTAGGAAAACCCGGTTTAATGCCTGACTTACCATAGTTGAAGATTCCAATAGCAAGCCCACACAGAGTAAAGTAGAGATGCTGAAGATCAGGTGCTTTTCCATACAAAAAGAAGCGATGGAATAAAGCAATCGGGTGAGCTGAAAGTGTAATTGAATATTAGTAAGGATAATTGATTATAAACATGAAAACACATCAGCAAATCAGGTACACGCCTGGTTTTTGTAAAATATGAATTTTTAAATTTAAGCTTTAAAATAAATAAAGCATTTTTTACAATTTTAAAACTTTTCCTTGACCACCCTTAGCTTCAGTACCTTTACAATGACTAGATATATTGGTTATGCCAAGAGACATATCTGTGATCAAATGCAGTTTATGACTTAACTCAAACAGAATAGCATTTTTTTTTATGTCTTACCAAAAATAATGGAGAATAAAATTTTTAACGCCGCCTCTGATGCACCGACGGTGCTAGCGAGCTGACCAATCAGACTCAAGTCACCCATCCTGAAACACAACGGAACTCATAGTAGACTTAAGCGTATAAAAAAACTCAAACTTTATATAGTCTAACGGATTTCATTTCTTCCTTAAACAACATAAACTACTCGCCTTAAAACTGTTATTTCAGAACTTATATCCAACTTTTAATCAGTTCACTAAGACAGTGACTTATTTAGCGTTATATAGGTCAGAATAGTCTGTGAATTTAAGGCGTAGTCTTATAATAAGACGTAGGCTACCGGTAACTATTCTTGAAAGTGCTCATGTCAAAACTTATAACATACAACTAACAGACTAAGTTAAAGGAAGCCAAAACAAAGTATTTGCTTAGTGCCATACATGATGTAGAAAATCTTATACTAAGTTATATATAGAAAATACCATTAGGCCTAAATTATGAATCTTGAACAAAAATTTGGAAAATAATTTGAAATCTCTTCAAGAAAAACACAAATAACTTTCATTATTGTTAAAATCAGACTTAAATGTGCATTCAGAGTGTAGGTAACAAATTTGTATCGTATAACTGGCAGATTTTCTAGCACCTGAGAGTTCAAAAAGGAAATTGTATAGATTAAACATGTTTTAAACCAAATAAAAACTAAAACAATCATACATACTTCCGGTACATGCGATTGCTTACAATCAAAGTTCAGAACTGAGTTCATAACAACTGATTTTTACCCCCTAGGAAGAAAAAGAGCTACTTTAAACCCGCAATTCATGCATTAAAAACTGCTGTTTCTAGTGCAGCATGACTAACAATATTTTAACTAAGTTAGGACTGTTTAATTACAATTTACCCATTAATTTTTTGAAAACATTTTAACCACCACAACTTGGGTTTATCAAATTAAAATAAAAAGTCCAATCTAATTAGATATAACTATCCGTTGAGTTGAATGACTGTGAATATTATATCATCCACACACAGATAAAAATGGAGCTGCTTACATAGTGATTGTATTATGCAACTTGCTGATTATCTACCAGCTAAGCACATTTTTGTGTGAATTGGGGTCAAGCTAAGAACAAATTGATATTGTTAAAATAGAGAGAGAAATCAAAAGTACAAGCTGTATAATATATAGGGGTGTGTGTATGTAGGCTATATCTTTTTTTATATCACGTACTTAAATTAAAACTTAAAACCAAATAGACATTTGTTATGTCTAAAAACTAGTTTTTAAAGAAAAAATATCTTAATTAGTGCAAAGGATTAGGCCTAATTGCACAGAATCGTATACCCTTTAATATGATCAGACAATGTTTGCTTGTATGTTTGTTTGCACAAAGATCTCAAAAACGGCTTCAACGATTTTCTCGAAATGCTGTAGATGCTGTTGGCAAAACTGCCAACAAAAATCTAATTACGTAAAAAAAAGAAAATTGAGAGTAAAAAATTTTGAACAGTGAGCCTTACTACTCTGGCAACGAAATAACGATGAAAATCGTAAACATCAACAAAAGAATAAATTATTAAACAAAATAATAATAAATAAATATAACAGCCATTTATAAACAAACCTTAAATCAAAGAGGTTGTTGATTCAAGATTCAAATAGTCTTTATTCAATATATAACACATAAAAAACATACATGTATCTGAATAGAGTCAAAATCTATATATAAATCATAGGCCCTGTACATTGAAACATAAATCTACGCAAATGTCCATTATGAAAAGTAAATGGATATTCAAATGAAATTTTTTTTATGATTTAGGTCTAGAGGTTAAGGAGAGAAGATGATGCATTGATAAAGAAAGTTTGGAAAGAGAACCCTGTTGGAGGAAGACCTCCTGGGCGTCCCAAAATGAGGTGGAAAGATGAAGTGACCAAAATAAGATTTCCTATTAATTGTCTCACCCTCCTGTTTTCAATAATTCTCCTTTAAACTCAAGAAATTGTCTGTTCTTCCAACAAAACTGATTGACTGTTTGGATTTGTCTATAACCTAAACATTACAAACATCAATATTTACTCCCAAAAAGCTGGTGAGTTTCTTTTTATATAGGCCTACAGCTGTTTTTGTTTTAACATTTGATTTCAATGTAATTCCTATGGGGAAAATGCGACCTTTGAGAGCGTCTCGTGCACTTAAGGGTAAGAGTTTTTAAATTCTAAAACCTTTATACAAAACTACGAATTGAGACGAATTATTTGACACCTCAAACGTTCTATTCAGAAATAACGGAGGAGTTTTGTTCACAAAATAACAGCCCTCACGTATTAATATAAGAGATCCTTATAGCACATGTCTCCAATTTTAGTATAACCAGCTCTGTTTCAAATATTAGTGTCAATTTCAAAGTATTCATCTGTTCAAGTGTAAACAAACATTTTCTCCCTAAGAATAACACGGGAACTTTGAAGGCCACTGGGGCAGAGCCCTGATGGAATTCCCAAGTTTTTTTTGTTTGATGGCAAAACTACATGCTAAGACCTTTCTAACGACACCTTGGACATGGTGATCGGTAGCACCACCGCTCTAAAACAATTATGACAAAAATATGCCTAGCGTATTAAATATTATATAGATGTATATATAGATGTATACTATGAAACTATTCTAAACTAACTTAACATAACTAACCAAACTTGCTGTAGGCTAAGTTACTGTTTCAAAATTCCGTTTGATAACAGAAAAGGCATATGGGGAATAGGCTATTAAACCGAATTTTGAAATTATATGTACAGCAAGTTAGGTTGGTTAGGTTAGTTTAGAACAGTTTCATTTCAATATCTATATATATAATACGCTAAGCCAATTTTTGTGAACAGAACTCCTCCCTCATTTTTGGACCGATTTTGATGATTAAAGTGTCAAAAAAATTGCCCTGATCTGTAGTTTTGCAAAGTGTTTTTCGTTTTTTGATATCTTTATTAGTTTGGGCAGGATCTTCCATCAAAGTCGAGTTTTCTCCCTTAAGATTAACATGGGGGAATCTAAATATTTAATTGGAAACTTTGTATCCACTAATTTGAGAGAACGGCTGGGTGGAGAAACTTGGTAGAGGTGTCCAAAGAAAGGTCTTGGTCTGTAGATGAGTTATCAAAAGAAAAACGAAGTAAATTCGCTTAAGGCTCTGCCCCAGAAGCCTTTAAAAATCCCTCCATAGATTTGTTTACATTTTGATCATGTGGATAATACTTTTTAATAAAACAGCTGTTAGTTTTAAAATTGTATTTTAAACAACACACATTTATTGGGAGTTACTGAATTGTCCAAAAGAAGTATTTGCAATGCTATTTTCTGATTTTAAAATTGCTTTTCTTCTGAATCATGTCATGTGTTTCAATATAAAGTTCCATTACAAAATCGATGGAAAATCCTTTTATCACAATAAATCTTACAATTAATTATTTCTTATTGAACTATCTAATATCTATTTTACGGGTTGATGTCTGCCTTTTTCACACCTTTTCCCTATATTTTATCATATTATTCTAGACGGATCACCATAGGTTCACAAGATTATTGTCATACTGTATATGCTTTCAATCATTGGAAAAATCTTCGATTGTGTAATACATTACAAAATAATACAAGTGCAGAAGGGCACGGTGCCAATTTGAGCCGTGTTTTCATATTTTCTAAAATTAATACCGGTAGTGGTTTACAGCAACTGGATAAAACATTTTACAATATTTATGTAGAAATATGTGCATGATTTAGAAAGTCATTAAGCTGGAAAGCTGCAATATACTGAAGACTTTTCAGAGAGGTTACTTCGATTACAGGTAACAGCCAATTTACATTATTTTTTGCTTTTTGGAAATGCCACATTACTATGTCATTCGTATTATTTTTTGCCATTGAAGCTGCACAACCATATAAATGAGGAGGCCCCTAAAAGTTCAAGAATAAAACCCAGTAACCCCACATAATTTCTCAAAACTGTGCTAGAGGGTTATTCATTGGCTTAGAAGTACGATACGAACTGACGCGACGTGACGAAGGAAAAATCAAACTTACACTGTAACGGATATACCTCTCTTTGAAGTTAGAACGTGTCTTCCCCACAAATAGATTTCTTTTTCAAATAAAATCATAGATTAATCTGCATTACACTGATGAAATCACGCAAGTGTTTGAGTACAAAGATCCACCAATAGGATTTTAATACTATTTAAAGGTTCTTCCAAAGGAAGAGAAACCAGATAGCATACTAACAACTCCGATTACGTACAGTATGGGAAATATTTTATTCATTGAATGATCAACCATATTTGGCAACTAACGCAATTAATATCATTATTGTTTTTACACTTATTAATCTTTAAACAATGCTGAATGCTCAAAATATTTATAATTCACTCAATTTATTACGGTTAGATGAATTAGCGTAAGCCTTGAAAATAACCGTCGATTTCGACGGGTTTCACCTAGTATATATATATTTTAATTGTTTGTTGATACTGAACAATATTTACTATATCCTTATCGTAGTTGTCAGCTGATATGTTTCAATTTGTTCTTAACAATACATTGGATGGTAAAATAAAATATCAATATTCGAAAAGAAATCATCGATAATAATGAATGTTCCCTTTAACAGGAATGTAGGGGAGAGTGGTACATACTGGGACGAAAATATTAAAACATTTTTTTCTTCAATATTAGTTGACTTAGAAGAACAATCTTTACACAAAAATAAAGCACTTTTAAAACTCTTTTAATGATATTTTTTTCAAAATTATTAACTTATATTTAAAAGGCCAAAAACCGTTTGTCCCGCTTTATACCACTTATCCCAACATGTACCGACCCTGGTACAAGGTGGGACAGCAATATGGTACAAAGTGGGACAGCATATGGTACAAAGTGGGACAATAAATGGTACAAAGTGGGACATCCTGTTATGCATAGGAGGTATACTTAAATAAGACAGTTTCAGACAAATAAAAATATTTATTGATATATGTGACTTGTAAAAACTTATAGTAAATAGTTAGTAATTAAACTAGGCTATAAGGCTCAAAATTGCTCCATCTTCTGCATGCTCCAAAAACTTCTTGCGGCAAATCTTCGGCATTATGGACCTGAAAAAAAAATTTTTTTTGTAAAATTTCACTATAATGTTCTTTGATGAATAACTATGATATGAATGAATGTGTCTATATTTTAAGAGTTAAATGTAGGTCTACTTCTGCATAAAACCGACCCCGCTAAAACTCTATTTATGTTATAAGTAGGTAAAAAAGAAGAAAGGAATTGTTTAATTGAAAATATAAGTACTAAACAGTTTAAAAATACCTAGGCCTAACACAAAATTATGACAATGGTTGTGTTTCTGGGTAAACCGTGTTAGGGTTTACCATGAGAAGTAAGTTAAGGGCTTTTTTTATTTAACAAACCCTAGGTCCTATTCTTGGTAACCTACCAAGCAGATGAGGCATGTCATATATTTATATGGGTATGCTTGTATTTATAGCCTATTATGAATTGCTATAATAGTATAATAAATCAATTATAATTGCTTGTCCCACTATGTACCGATTTCCCACTTTGTACCACCTTATTTAACATTGTCCCACTATATACCACAAATAACTGTCCCACCTTGTACCACATGTAGGGTTATATTGTTTTTAAGTTTTACCCCAAACAGTGCATCTCAGACATCCCTGACCTCCTTCTATTGAACAAAGAAGGTTTTTTAATGTTAGGCATATCAAATTTAACCTGCTTATCAAACTAATTTCATAAGAAAATGATGATTGCTTACCTCAAAAATGTAACTTTTGAGACTATAGTTGTAGCAGACTGTCATTCAGTACTTTCCAACATGACTGAAACTTCAGAACTAACTTAAAACACACTGTTGGCCATGACTTAACACTTTTGGAGGGAAACTGGCCACATGGCTTTGAAGATAAAAAAGTTATATGGAATGTCCCACTATATACCGTGTCCCACCTTTTACCACTCTCCCCTACCCAAAGTGCAACCAGTTATAACAAGAACAACAAAAGGAATACAGTAACAATGAAGTAACAATAAGGACAAAGATAACAATAAAGAGCAACGAGGACAACAAAACATAAAAAGCATTTAACAAATTTAATGAGAGATTAGTCTTGTCTTGAAGTCTTTGAGTAGATAGGCCATCTTTAGGGCCTATTCACACTGGGCCACAAATAGGTCAAAATGTGCATGAACCACCAGCTCAGCCACCAATGCAGCTGCAGCCGCAAAGCTCACAGTTTAATCATGTAATCATGGACGTCGAAGAAGGAGGTGCGTTAGCACATATATTTTTGAAATCGCGAAAACCTAAGAAAAACATAGTTTTTGGGTTCATCCGTTTTTAAGAAATGGAAGTAGGCCTACCAGAGGGACTTTTTTCACTTACTACCAAGACCTTATAAATAACCCTGACAAGTTTTACTCTTACTCAAGAATGAGTGTTTTAAGTTTTGATGAGATTCTGGGATGTCTGGAAGATAAAATAGTAGAATAAGTAATGCCCGCTGGTAGTGACCGGTGGGGCTGCCAGTCGCTCCAATGTGAACAGTCCGATAAGAAACCATGTAGTGTGACGTGGTGGCGCCACCAGACTGGTGTCTTTGAAAATCGCAACCCCGAGCCACCGCATTTCTGGTCGCGCGGCCAGACGCGCCAAAAACGCTCAGTGTGAAGATGTCCCATTTAAATCAATGCTAATGTAACGTAGCCACCATGGTGTCGCCACCGGTGTCACCAACATGGTGGCCCAGTGTGAAGGGGGCCTTACTAATCAAGTGGAAGCGAGCTGATCAATCTCCTGGAACATGTGGCGCTACAGTTGAAGAAACTATCAATCTCCTGAAACATGAGGCGCTACAGTTAATTAATTTCAGGTGGCATTGAGAGTTTCCTAGGGCTTGCACATGCGAGCGATGGCACTGTGCTGTTCGTAGAGTGTAACATGGTAAGACCTAGCAAACAGCTCCAACATCGATCTGGTACCCCCTGGGACCTGGAAACCAATTCGCTCAAGCAACTCCGGGCAGAATATCTCTCCGTTGACCAGTCTATGTAGGAATATCAGATCAAAGATTTTCCTTCTAGATATCAGCATACGAAGATCTAAAGACAGCTGCCAAGGCGCTGAAGAGTAGTGATGTTTTTTCGTCATAATTCTAGTTTTTACAGACCGGTTCCTTTTAATTTAAATAAACTGACCTAGGCCTAATAAGGAATTAAGTTAGGCCTATATTTTAAAAACCGTGATCACATGGAGTAAGTATAATGGAGCCGAAGGGTACAGTTTCTTAACTGGGCTATGCTAATATCGATTGAAACTATCTATTTGATTAGTAAACCTTCATGCGATTTGTTCACCGTCAGCAAGTTTGGTTGGTTAGGTTAGGTTATGATAGTTTGATTTTATAATAGATATATTTTAAGATATCGATTATTAAATCAATATTTTCAATTCAATAATTTCAATCGATATTAGCATAGGGAGCCCAGTTAAGAAACTGTACCCGTTAGCCTTCAGTGTACTGAATTGGCTGATGAATTAATTATATAATTAGAAATGATGCAAACTCCTGATATTAATTAGCAATGCCTACTAACTTACTAAACAGCAACTTAACTAACCGTAACTTGTCCTAGGCCTGAATAAGTAACTACTATTCCACCTATGTTGATCGTGAATTGGGAATTGGCTCGTTTCGTATGATTTGAAAATACTACTAAGCTAATAATTACCTTGCTCTTTTCCGGTAAAAATGTACCTCAACAACAACAACCTAATGTCTGGATCATTCGTACAACTTAGCTAGCTTAGAACAGAACTTACAACCTAACCTTAAAATAACTTAGTTTTTTTTATAAAATCATTCGATGCCAATAACCAATGAATGTTTTAGTTAAGTTTTGACATGACTATGACTGGAGGAGAGGAACATGATTTTTCTTTATTTAATGCATGGCTGACTTCTCTCTATGCCATAAAGCTTTCCACTCTCTTTCAACGATTTTTAAATTGTAACAATAACTCTCTCTTTTCTCTCATGATCTATTTAGAGCTATAAAAAGTGCATGGAAGTTGAAGCAGCAATTCTTTTTACGCACGTACTTTAAAAACCAAATTCGAGAACAAATTATAATGTCATGGATTAATATCTAGCTTGCCAATGTGTTTAGTTTGTATTTTAAGTTCAAAGTTTTACTCTATGGTCAAATTTTCACACTGTCGTCTGCAATTGCATCCATCTGTTTGATCTCGTTCTCGTTTCCTCGTTAGGATCTGTCAGTAAAATTGGTCTTAAACTGGATTCCTTCCAAATTTTATTTGATATCCGAAAACTGTTCGTTATAGAACTGCTAGTTTTATTTTATTCATGACATTTCGGTAAGACACTTATTCAACTATTCCATAACCATTAATACGTTCGTAAATAAGGGTTTATGGCACTATTAGATCCATTTTAGGTTACGATTTTCTTAGCCATTTAGGGTTTGTAAAAACTCCAATAATTTCAAACAATTTAAGGGCATAATATTTTTTTCGCTATAAGTATATTAGCAACTCCTATAATTTTACGTAATCTGTTCTTCAAGGAATGTTGAATGGAAATTGCATGCCCATAAGGATAAGGAGTAGGTAGCCTAAGTTATGAAGATGCACAACCAGGGGCCCATTTCATAATAAACTACAAGTTACAAGTTACAACTTGTAACTTGTAATTTCCATTAGATTTGCATTGGGCGATCAGCTGATTTACTAATAATATTAGTTTGTACTTTATTATGAAATGGGCCCCAGAGTGGCATTAATAAATCTCAAACGTGCAACAATTAATATTGATGTGGTGAAACTGTTTTTTTTAATCTCCTAAACAAGTGCTACATAGCCTACCAGGAAAACATTAATCAGGCAATGCCCTAGATTATGTTAGGCTATGTAGAGTTATACCAGTAATAAAGGAAATGTAGGTCAGTTAAGTTAAGGGGTACACTTCCATGTCTATTGGCACAAACTACCGAATGAGTAATATTGATTATTCGATTGTTTAATTCGATAGGATCATTAGGTTAGGTTAACCTTACCTAACTAACCAAACGATATATTGATCGATATTTTTATTCGGTTGTTTGTGCCAACAGATATGGAAGTGTACCCCAGTTAAGTCTTACTACAACTAACTTTTTAATGATTCAAATTTCAAGTCTTTTTTTAAGCGTATTATCAAGATATTATCTCGTGTAGGCCTACAGTTCCGCAGAAAACCTGCAATAGGCTATATTATCGGATGACATTTTTATTTGATAGGCCTAAAGGTTATAAAATATCCTAACAGATTTTATTTTCAATATTTTAATACAATTATATTGATAGTCTAGTATGGATCAATTATAATTTTTTAGCTAGGGCCTATTTGATCTTTAACGATAATAGCAAAGATGTTAAGTTGGGTACACTTCCATATCTGTTGGCACAACCGAATGAAAATATCGATCGATAAGTTATATCGTTTGGTTAGTTAAGGTAAACCTAACCTAACTAACCAAACGATATATCAAATTAAACAATCGAATAATCAATATTACTTACTCATCCGGTTGTTTGTGCCAACAGATATGGAAGTGTACCCGTTTAATTTTTTTCTGCATTGTATTCTAGTTAACTTTTCTTTTAATATAGTCTAGCCCGCAAATGGTAGGAAAAATTAACTTTTGTACTTAATGATTTTTTATTTTGATAGTACAGTACCTATTGACAATCCAAACGTCAATTTAATAAGTTAGTGCATCTTTTAACTGGTTTTAAGACTATAGACTTTTTATCATGGTTAAGTATTGTTTTGACCCATTATACGATTAGACTGTTATCAATTCATACTTTAATAGAATCTCAGTGAACCGTGAAGGAATAGGCATAGCTGTTTAACTTGTTTTATGTCATTCTATATGGAAAAGTGAGGCACTGTATTTTCAACAGTTCTGTATTATGTAAGTTGTAAATCCTAATTGTATTAAATCCATTTACAAAATGTGGTTTTCAGTTAAAATTGCATAATACTTATGGCGTTGCAGATTGTAATGGCTGCAAAAATGCCAGAGTTGAATTATTCCTGTGAGATATGCGGAGCTGACGGTTTGAGTGATGAGGAGATGAGAGTGCACATCGTCATGTGTCACTTGAAAGGTGCAGCGTCATGTCCTTTCTGTGACCTTGAAGATGTGACAGCTGATGAGATGTTGACACATGTAAACACTGCCCATCTGGATTACCTAACTCCGGAACAGGAACTTCTTACTTTTATCGATGACGATGATGACTCGGAGAGACACGAGGAAATGTCTAACTGGAGCGCCAGCATGAAACCTCACAACGGGCTGCCGAACAATATCAACAACAATAATAACTCGTATTGTGATTTGAAGTCTTTGGAAAAAGAAGGTGCCTCAGGATGGTCGCCGAGGAGGTCTCAACTAGCACTGAACCTCTCCAGCAGTTCGTCTGCTTCTCTAATGACACCGGGGCTTCAGAAGTGCCCCATGTGTAGTTATAGCAATGAAAACACATCACAGTTAGAAGAGCATATCAATAGGCAACACTTTGATCTCACTAGTCCCTCATTTCCAGTCGATACGCCATCAGGCTCTTTCAGTTGTCCGCTTTGTGCACAGAACTTCTTTAATGCTTCCGATCTTGAACTTCATGTCAATATTGAACATAAAGACATCCTTAGTCCTGGGAAGGTAAGATAGCCTATTCAAGTATTACGAGACAAATAAATGGCATATGTAAAAGTTGATAAACTTTTAAATTGTTGTAGAAGAAAAGCTTTTTTAACAAAAATAATAGAACCTCACTATCTCCTGTTTGCAAGAGATATATTTTAATTTTGAGTGTAGACTACACATTTAAGCCAAACTGTACAAAATTAGGCCAGTAAAAAGTTGTTCAAAGTTACAGTAGGCCCTAGGTAAAAATCTTTAAAATTGATCAACAACTCAAATCATGAACAGAACTCTCTTAGTTAACTAGGTTTGTAAGTTTGCTAGCTGCAATAGGCTACGATACTATATTTTTGCCGTGATTAAATCTCAAGATAACATAACTTCTTAATGGGATAAAGCATTAGCTTATTTAATAATTTAATGAATCAGATTTTTTAAAAGATAAAAGAGCTTAAATACCAAGTTTTGTAATGAAAGATCCCTTATTATAATCAAGGTTATAATGGAAGGTCAGATTAGTGGGGTTCTATTTAACTTACACCCTATTCAAAGCCAATAGGCCTGTAGCCTAGTAAAATATACCCTACTTTATGTTTTAAAACAAGGGAAATGCTCTAAGTAGATCTATAGTGTATTCTTACCACTTCGTATGTGTATTCAAGTAAATCCTTTGTAGAATACAGTAACGTGTTAGTAAATTAATTATTTTTCTAAAATTAGTTTCATGTGGTAGTAAGTACTTCATTATACATTTTAAATTCACTGCCGACATTTTGGATGAAAATACTCTAAGTAGAAAATTCAGCCAAGTGTCCCGTTATTTGTTTTTGTAGCAGATAGGCTACAAATTTTTCATAATCATGCATGATTTTTAACTTTATCTCGCCATAATCTAATTGCATGGTTGTCGTTGTCCGTTTGTGAATATTGCTTTGGTTCTGTGACGGTGTTGTTTTGAACCTTATAATTGTGTGTCAATGCCTTAAATCTTATTCATTTTCCTCCACTTTTTGTTTAAACTTTCCCAACTTTCATTTCACAGAAAGTTTCAAATTTTTTCTTTTTTTGATTTGTTGCCTTTTTAGTGTTAAGGAAGTTTCGCCTATTAAGATGACATTTGCAGGTGAGCTCAGACATTTCTGTTGAAAAAGCTACTGAAATGTGCCCAATTTGTTGTATGATGAATTTCAAATCGACAGAAGACTTAGGCGCTCACATTGAAGACCACTTTAACCAAAAAGGTATTAAAGACAAATGTTCATGCTACAATGTTCAATTTTCTTGTAGATGGCATTGCACTGTCCATTCTTTACTTTACAAGGCAATTTTGAAAGCTTGCTTCCAAATTAAAATGCACTTATTATATTTTTATTTCAGCTTAAAGCATTGGTTATACATTATGTCCATGTACTGTATCTTGAAAGCAACTCTAGCAATAATTTTACTAAAGCTTAATTACACTAGTTATTTCTTCAACGACGATAATATAGGTAAATTTTGTTAAATTTAAACAAAAATTATGACCACTATTGATTACATTTCTACATATTACAGTTCCTGGAATTAGAGAAAATCATACGCTTGTGTCCAACGTCATTATTGGGCTTTATATATAATTAAATATATATTTTTAAATAAGCTGCAGATTACGTGTGATATCAATACTTAGGGAGCGAGATGGTCTAGAGGTAGAGTGCGGAACTTTGGTCCCTGAGATCCCGGGTTCAAATCCCACCAGATTACCAATGGATTTTATCTAAGTGATAATGCCGCAACCCCTAGGTCTAGCCTGAAGTAATGTGAAAAACAATCTGAAGCTCATGTCTAGGACAAAAATAAGAAAAAGAGAATTCGTTACCGTACCTAATTTTTAGGATTATTTTGTTTAATTCTTTAGACAGTTTTCTTTAGTCCTGTTTAAAACTCCAGTTGTACAATCCTGATCTGAGATTTGGAACGTAGGTACCTTAAAGGTACCAGGTAACATTTGACTCTCAAAATAATTCCAGCTATGGTTGAATTTTGCGTTTTACTGAGTTTTTCAACTATTTTTTTCCAAAACATGATAGTCTAGAATAAAAGGTTACATTTCCTTACTGTCTTTGTATCACA